GCTGATTTGGTAAGCATCACGTCACTTTAGCATTTTGTTTTTGATTTTGTCAAGTTGTCATTTTCATTGCTTTGCCCGAATTAGTAATGGTAACGCATAACCATTCTCTTAATCACACAAGATGACAAACAAGTGCATGCCAATTGAGTAAGTTTACAGACAGTTTCACAGATGAAAACAGACATATTAGGTGCTTGATATATTAAAAATATGTCAAAATATGGGTGGTAGGAATTTGTTTTGTCCAATTCTATTAGATATTATATGGCATTTGAGTCTATGTGACCATAGTCTTGAGATATGTAATCTTTAATTCTATCTTAGTATAAGTTAATTTAATTGTGTGCTTGCTGGTTTTGTATCTGGTCTCCCTTTGTTGTCCGTCCTGTTCTTGTTGTTGGTGTGGTACTTTTGCATTGTTCATTTGTATTCCTGCATTTTGTATTTCTTATGGACGTCTCATGTTGTCTTCAACATTTTCATTTTTGCAGATCCATTCCGCTGCAACCATCTTGGACAAGAGCAATTTGATTAAGTACGACAGGAAAAGTGGATATTTCCAGGTTACAGACTTGGGTCGTATTGCAAGCTATTACTATATAACTCATGGAACAATATCCACATATAATGAACATTTGAAGCCCACGATGGGGGATATTGAGCTTTGCCGATTGTTCTCGCTCAGTGAGGAATTCAAGTATGTTACTGTGCGGCAGGATGAAAAGATGGAGCTAGTAAAGCTTTTGGATCGCGTTCCCATTCCTGTCAAGGAAAGCCTAGAAGAGCCCAGTGCCAAGATTAATGTTTTGCTGCAAGCATATATTTCACAGCTGAAGCTTGAGGGGCTTTCATTGACATCTGATATGGTTTACATTACTCAGGTTTGTCTTGGTAGTTTCATGCTATTTTTTTGTTTGTTATTTGAGATACAGTTGTGAATGCACGCAGTTTGCTCTAGTTTTTTTTATTTATAATTTGTTTCTCTCTTTTCCTGTTATTCATTTGTCTGAATTTTTTTTTGGTCTTTGGTTTCTTCAGAGTGCGGGGCGTCTCCTACGAGCTCTTTTCGAGATTGTTTTGAAACGAGGATGGGCTCAACTAGCAGAAAAGGCTTTGAACTTGTGTAAAATGGTTAACAAGAAGATGTGGAGCGTCCAAACACCTCTTCGCCAATTCAATGGTATTACAAATGATATTTTGATGAAGTTGGAGAAGAAAGATTTGGCCTGGGATAGGTACTATGACCTCTCTTCACAGGAGCTAGGGGAGCTTATTCGTATGCCAAGGATGGGAAGAGCACTTCATAAGTTCATCCACCAGTTCCCCAAATTAAACCTGGCAGCCCATGTGCAGCCAATTACTCGCACTGTATTGAGGGTTGAGCTGACTATAACACCAGACTTTCAATGGGAGGACAAAGTACATGGATATGTGGAGCCGTTTTGGGTAATAGTGGAGGATAATGATGGTGAATATGTTCTTCATCATGAATATTTTCTGCTCAAGAAGCAGTATATTGATGAGGACCATACTTTGAACTTTACAGTGCCAATTTATGAGCCCCTTCCGCCTCAATACTTCATTCGTGTTGTGTCTGATAGGTGGCTTGGGTCACAGACAGTTTTACCTGTTTCTTTCAGACACCTCATCTTGCCGGAGAAGTATCCTCCACCTACTGAGTTATTGGACTTGCAACCACTTCCAGTGACTGCATTAAGGAATCCGTTATATGAAGCCCTGTATCAAGATTTTAAGCATTTTAATCCTGTCCAGACCCAGGTCTTCACTGTTTTGTATAATTCAGATGACAATGTCTTAGTTGCTGCACCAACAGGGAGTGGGAAGACCATATGTGCAGAGTTTGCCGTACTGAGGAATCATCAAAAAGGGTCTGATAGCGTCATGCGTGTTGTGTATATTGCACCTATTGAAGCTCTTGCTAAGGAACGTTATCGTGACTGGGAGAAGAAGTTTGGAAAGGGTCTGAAACTGCGCGTCGAATTATTAACAGGGGAAACAGGAACAGACGCAAAACTGCTTGAGAAAGGTCAGATTATCATCAGCACTCCAGAGAAATGGGATGCTTTATCCCGCCGCTGGAAACAGAGGAAGCCTGTTCAACAGGTTAGTCTTTTTATTATAGATGAACTCCACTTGATTGGTGGTCAGGGTGGTCCCATCTTGGAGGTAATAGTCTCTAGAATGAGATACATAGCCAGTCTATCTGAGAACAAGATTCGTATTGTGGCTCTGTCAACTTCTCTTGCAAATGCAAAGGATCTTGGAGAATGGATAGGAGCTAGCTCTCATGGCCTTTTCAATTTTCCTCCTGGTGTGCGCCCAGTGCCTCTGGAAATACACATTCAGGGGGTGGACTTAGCCAATTTTGAAGCAAGGATGCAAGCAATGGCGAAACCCACATACACTGCAATTGTCCAACATGCTAAGAATGGGAAACCGGCTCTTGTGTATGTTCCTACAAGGAAACATGTCCGGCTAACTGCTATAGATCTGATGACTTACTCAACTGCAGACGGTGGGGAGAAATCGTCGTTTCTGTTGCGGCCTGTAGAGGACATAGAGCCTTTCGTTGAAAGAATTAGTGATGAAATTTTGAGAGGCACTTTGCGCAATGGAGTGGGCTACTTGCATGAAGGATTAACCAGTTTGGATCAAGAGGTTGTGTCACAGCTTTTTGAAGCTGGGTGGATTCAAGCGTGTGTCATGAGCAGTTCAATGTGTTGGGGTGTGTCATTGTCAGCCCATTTGGTGGTTGTGATGGGAACCCAATATTATGATGGCCGGGAAAATGTTCACACTGATTACCCTGTTACTGATCTATTGCAGATGATGGGTCATGCCAGTCGACCCCTGCTAGATAATTCTGGGAAATGTGTCATCCTCTGCCATGCACCTCGCAAAGAATACTACAAGAAGTTCCTTTACGAAGCATTCCCTGTTGAAAGCCATTTGCACCATTACCTACATGATAATCTTAATGCAGAAGTTGTTTCTGGAATAATTGAGAACAAGCAAGATGCTGTTGATTACCTTACCTGGACCTTCTTGTACAGGAGGCTCACACAAAATCCCAACTATTACAATCTTCAGGGAGTTACCCAGCGGCATCTTTCTGATCATCTCTCAGAGCTTGTTGAAAATACACTGAGTGACTTGGAAGCCAGCAAGTGTGTTGCTATTGAGGATGACATGGACCTGTCTTCTTTGAATCTTGGCATGATAGCTGCATATTATTATACCAATTATACTACCATTGAGCGTTTCAGTTCTTCCTTAACTTCGAAAACAAAGATGAAGGGTCTTCTTGAGATTCTAACTCACGCTTCAGAGTATTCACAACTTCCTATACGACCGGGGGAGGAAGAGGTGCTTCGAAGGCTAATTAACCACCAGAGGTTTTCCTTTGAGAATCCGAAATGCACAGACCCTCATGTTAAAGCGAATGCTCTGCTTCAGGCCCACTTCGCAAGGCAACATCTGGGTGGGAACCTAGCATTGGACCAGCGAGAGGTGATCATTTCTGCAAGTCGGTTGCTTCAGGCAATGGTTGATGTCATTTCCAGCAGTGGCTGGCTAAGCCTTGCGATATTAGCCATGGAAGTCAGCCAGATGGTGACTCAGGGAATGTGGGAGCGCGACTCGATGCTTCTACAGCTACCTCACTTCACAAAGGAGTTGGCAAAGAGATGCCAAGAAAATCCTGGAAAGAGTATAGAGACAGTATTTGATTTGTTTGAGATGGAGGATGATGAGAGGCGCGAGCTACTTCAGATGTCAGATAAGCAGTTGTTGGATATTGCACAATTTTGCAACCGGTTTCCCAACATTGATCTGACACATGAGGTGCAGAATAGTGGTAATATAAGAGCCGGAGGAGAGATCAGTCTGCTAGTCACTCTTGAGCGTGACCTTGAAGGGAGGGCAGAGGTGGGCACAGTAAATGCTCTGAGATATCCAAAGGCCAAAGAGGAGGGGTGGTGGCTTGTAGTTGGGGATACCAAGACTAATTCATTGCTTGCCATCAAGAGATTTTCCTTTCAAAGGAGGACAAAGGTGAAGCTTGAATTTGCTGCTCCTGCAGAAGCCGGAGAGAAGAATTATATCCTTTATTTCATGTGTGATTCATATTTGGGATGTGATCAGGAATATGAGTTCACTGTTGATGTTAAAGATGCAGCAGGGCCTGATGAGGACAGTGGGGGAGAATGAGAGAGATGTTTATTAGATTCTGAATATTTTGCTTGTTTCTGAATATGTTTTTAATTCCCGCTGTTTCTAGAAGAATTAAATGTTTTTAATTCCCTCTGATGATGAAAGTACAGTACAGTATTGGAATGGCTCATAATCATATCATATGTTCCTTCCTTTCCTTCTGCTTTGTCATTTGTCATCATACATAAATCTGGGAAAGAGTGTCTGTGCAGCTGCTGCTTTCCATTCTCTCTGTTTTTTCTCTATTGAATTGAATATTCCTTTTGGCCTTTGTGCTTTTTACTTGTTTCTGCACGAAGTGCTGTGGCCGTGAAAGGAATTTAGCAATCTTATGAAAAACACATTGCGAAACTTAGCTTGCTTCCGATTTTGGTGAACAGGTTGCAGCAACCTGTAAATTGTAATGCCTCCATTTTTTTTCTTTCCAGTTTGTGCCGAGTCTATAATATTCTTCTTCATGTTTTTATGAAACTAACCCGTTGACAATGAAGGAAAAAAACTCAAAAACCTCTTCACATCAGTCTAGAACTATTTGAACAGATGATTAGGAAGGATTTATTGGCACTTGAAAATTGAGTTTCGTTTTACATATGCATGATGAAGAAAACTAACACTTCCTTGTAGTGGATGGAACAATATCCGAATGTACCCAAAAAAAAGAAAGATATCCCAACAGTGGATACATCATGCATACATAATATGAAATGGGAAATACAACCAAAATTGAAATGCAAGAATGGGACAGGACAAATGATCAAGTGATGGGATCAGTTCTTGTTCTTGGTATTCATGCTCTTCTTGACCTGCTCTGCGTTCTCTTTAACGAACTCTTTCGATTCTTCGGTCTTGCCCACTACCGTGTCTGCGGCCTTCTGGGCTGTGCCCTTAGCTTGGCTCCATGCATCTTGCGCTGTCTGCTTTGCCTTCTCAGACACATCTTGTGCTGTTGCAGACACCTTGCCAGCCATGTCTTTGGTCGTCTGGGTTACCTGCATGCACACCATGAAATTAAATGACAACCTAGGGCCTGCAACCGATACATATAAAGGAATAAAAAGAGATAAAGAAAAAACACAGAGACTTGTCGTTTACATTTTCAGCAGCATTCCTAGCTTCATTGGCTACTGAAGCTGCGTCTTGCTGTGATGAACTTGCCTATGATCAATCATGAACCATAAAATTAATTAAACATGTAGAAATTGGTGAAATATTCGATTCGAGTAGAGAGCAAATTGAACTTACTTGAATACATCTTGGGGAAGTAGCCAAAAAAATCCTAGGAGTTGTTGAAGTGGCGTTCCTTGCAACATGGCCAAATTTCAAGAGGCTGGTAAAAAGAGTTAGGTTTGCCATCTTTGTCTTATAAATTAGTTGCTTCTTTTTTCTTTTCTTGTATTGCAATTTGAAAGAGGACATTGTAAGAAGCAGAGTATATAAAGAAGCAAGAGAACTCGGATAGGGTCCTGTTGTGCAGCATGGAGAGTATTTTGCGCTGATATGATTGGTTAGAAAACTGTCTTTTAACGGTCAAACAGACCCAGTATTATAGGACATACAGTTAATTAGCAATGGGATTCATTGTCACTAACACTAAATTAGTCTGACTAATAATAATACTTAAGGTGTTGGTTCACTGGTGGTGAGATTACTTTAACATCCTTCGCATCACTAGATAGATCGATCGATCATCCTCTTAATCTTAACCATTCCCCATTAATATAGTTGTCACATTACATTAATCCATTCAATTAACAGTTTAGGCTGATCTGAGACATGATTTAGTACACAGACTACTAGAAAGATGATCCTTATTTATGAAAAATTCTCATGTATGGACGTCCGGACATTATTATGGTGCAGACACGTGCCATGTATTTTCTATTATCCCTCCATTCTTTCTTCTCTGTTTACAATGACATCACGTACATAGGTGAAAAGAGAGATTAAATTGATTTGTTGGCCTATGAATGTCATTCACAACAACGTACATGAAAAGAAAAAATGAAAAGATTGCTTGGGATCAAATGGTTCCTGGCATTAAAGCCTATACTTGTTTCTTGCACAACGGGCTTTTTTAGGAATGTAAATTGATAAATGACGCATCTACTCTAATATGAAAGGACGAAACTTTTGACATAAAGGATTGAATCTTTCTTGATTTGATTTATTGATCTGATCTGATTATGATGATGATATTCTAGTAGTAATATTCAAGGTTGAATCAAGTAATTAATCTCCAATATCATTTTCTTGTCCTGATTATTCTCTAGATTTGACTGTCCAAATCTTTTGATTCATAATTTACTGGGATTTTCTTCGTCAGCCAGCTGTAAATTTTATTTCTAATGAAAATATACATGTACATTATGCCTCGACCACGACGGATGGATACACTCATTGTACATTTGATTTCAAAAGCTAGCTAGCTTACCTAGGCTAGGGTTGCCCCATCGCTTTGTAATGCTTTGGAATTTCTTGATGAACCAAACTACAATTATTTCGGATCTGTAAATCAATTTCCAGAGTATAATTAATAATCGAGTGGGATAAGGGTCCACACGTAGGTTTGGTAATTAGTATTGAACACACAAAATTTAAAAACTTGGGGCAAGAAATAATGCCGAAGATATATCATAATTAATATTCTGAGAATGTGCACAGTCCGACTTGGGAGGAAAATTCCTGAATTCGACACTAAAGGTACATCCATTTTGCAATAAAGTCATATATATATATATATCAGTCTATATATTAAGGGCTACATTGACTAATTACTTTCGAAGATGAAGAAGATGAAAAAAAAGAAAATGACGATGGTGATGGTGATGATGGTTTGCTTGACAGCGGCAAACGTAGCACGTGGGCAACCGAAGCCCGGGTGCTCAGGCAGCTGTGGCAATCTCACCAACATTCCCTACCCTTTCGGCACATCTCTAGACTGCTCTTTCGACGAAACCTTTGTGATTTCTTGCAATGACACCACATATCAAAATGGAGGCCATCACAAACAAGCATACTTCCCCAACAGCTTCATACCCATCACCAACATATCACTCAGAGATCACGAATTGCGAGTGTCCGGTCCCATCGCCCGAGACTGTTACTACGCAGACAACGAGGAGTACGACCGCCACGCCGAGGTTGTCATGCGAACTAACTCTAAATTTCCAGTCTCAAGCAAGCGCAACATGTTGGTCGCTGTCGGGTGCGAAGCAATCGGGGCCATTGAAAGCCCGATAAATTACGATGCCTTGTTGAATAATGCAAACTTGAGCAGCTCCTCCGTGGGGAGGATGAGAGCTGGATGTTTGTCACTTTGCAGCCAAGTAGAGGAAGTGAAGAATGGGACTTGCTCTGGAGCTGGGTGTTGCCAGATATCCATAGCAGACGGCGTCATAGATTATTCTCTCATGGCTGAAAACTTGTTCAACCATTCCGACTTCAACCCCTGCGATTATTCTTTCGTTGTGGAAGTGGGCGCCTACAGCTTTTCGTCTCTGGATCTTGTAGACCTGCAGAAGAGAGAGTCTTTTCCTGTGGTGCTCGATTGGGCTGTCGGGAATTACCAGTCTTGTGAACAAGTCAATGACAGCAGTACTGCATGCCAGTCAAGGCATAGCGAATGCTACAATTCAACCAACGGCCCTGGCTATCGCTGCAAATGCCTGGAGGGTTTTCAAGGCAACCCTTACCTCGTTGATGGCTGCCAAGATATTAACGAGTGCGAGATTCGGAACCTCTGTGTTAGCCAAGCGACATGCCACAACAACGTTGGAGGCGTAGAATGCCGTTGTCCAAAGGGATACATTGGAGACGGCTTGACAAGTGGAAAAGGTTGCATCCTAAAAGATGATAAATATCTAAGATTTGCTATTCCAATGGGTACGTAATTAAGTTTCTTAATCTTAATTATGTTCGTCATTTGTTAATTCACAAGTATAAATATATATATATATATATGCGTATATAAAATAACATTGTATTTACCTGCTGCTCAGGTTTTTGCCTATGCCTTTTGGCGGTTCTTATAGGAGGTTTGTGGATCTACTGGGGACTGAAGAGAAGAAGGTTCATGAAGCTCAAAGAGAAATTCTTTAGACAAAACGGTGGCCTTCTGTTACAACAACAGCTCTCTGATCATAAAGGATCCATTGAGATGATTAAAATTTTTACTGCAGAGGAGCTCAAGAGGGCAACCAAGAACTATGATGAGAGTATGGTGCTTGGCCAAGGAAGTTTTGGAACAGTTTACAAAGGAACTCTGCTAGATAACAAGGTGGTTGCCATTAAGAAGTCCAAAGTCTGCGACAAGAATCAAATCGAGACTTTCATTAATGAGATGATTGTGCTTTCTCGAGTCAACCATCGCAATGTCGTCAAGCTTTTAGGTTGTTGTTTGGAGACAGAAGTGCCCCTGCTCGTTTATGAGTTCATCACAATGGGACACTGTACAGCCACATCCATGACAGGAGCCAAGATTCTTGCTCAGCACTTTCATGGCAACTGCGTCTTAAAATTGCAACAGAAATTGCAGGGGCACTTGCCTACTTGCACTCTGAAACTTGTATACCTATCATACACAGAGATGTCAAGACTGCAAACATATTGTTGGACGAGGATTACATAGCAAAGATGTCTGACTTTGGAACTTCGAGGCTCATCCCGGTGGATGAAACTCAGTTGACAACGTTGGTGAGGGGAACATTTGGATATTTGGATCCAGAATACTCTCAGAGCAGCCAGCTAACAGAAAAGAGTGATGTTTATAGTTTTGGGGTTGTTTTGGTGGAGCTACTAACGGCTAAGCAGGTAATTTCTTTTGCAAGGCCAGAGCGCGAAAGAAATCTAGCAGTATATTTTGTTTCTCAAATGAATGCAGATCGTTTGCTTGAAATTCTTGACGATCAAGTCCCCCTCAATGAAGAAATCATCGAGCAGCTAAGGGAAGTTGCTGACCTTGCAAGTAAGTGTTTGAGGATGAGAGGAGAGGAAAGACCTGCTATGAAGGATGTCACGGCAGAGTTAGAAAGAATAATGAATAATCTAGTTAATTAATACTAATTAGATATAAACTTATGTCTCTAATGATCTATGTTTTCTGTTTAGGCAACTTGGCTCCTTTTTGAGGAGTTAATGTTTAACTGTTTGGTTAGCTAGGCCACTTAATACATGCTTCCTGTATTGTATGTTTCCGACCAGCTTTTGTGTTTCATTTTCCTCATGATCTCATCCTACATGAATGAGTTCTGTTTTGTAATTTGCTCTCTATCATGAATGATCAATTGATCAAACATTCTGAAATTGAGTTTATGTTTATTTGTTGATCTTGTCTTGAGGAAACCTGCATCATCAATTCCTCAGTACCAGCATAGGGATATCCATTCATTTTCAGAGGCATCGAAATCACTTTCGAAAGCGAAACTACCAACACGAATAAATAACTTTTAAAAATAGAATACCAAATTATAAAACCGACTTCTTGATGGAAAAAAACAAACATTGTATCAATTATTTCCACCCTCATATAATTTCATCATTAGTTAATAGTGATAAGGGATACCAACATTAGAAGCATCGAAAAATCTATATTATAAATAAATTACTGTTAAAACAAATAAGGAACATAACAGAAAAGGCTGAATCAAAATTCAACCATTAAACTCCAGGTGAGCTGGATCCCACTGACTTCCAGAGCTTCACCCAATCCCCCATGGCATCAGCAGCACGAGCAAACATAGGATCTACCTTTCCCAACTGCTCCTTCACCGACTTTGCCATATCGACAACACAGTCTTCTGCTGTAACAGCTGTTTGGGGTAACCTAACCGACTGAAAGAAAGGAACCACCTCCTCCATCAGCTTCACCCCTTCCCACTCTTTCTTCAAGCTTTCAATGGCATCACCTCTTTCCCTTCTCCATACATAAGGTATCCCACTTTTTACACCAAGTCCCAGGTGATCACATATAACCTTAACACACATTCCAGACCATATATCTTCCACTGTCTCCCACCTCAACTTTCCTTCCCCTGCCAACCTCAAAGCCGGGAACAAAGCTGGCCCCACCACCTCACGATTGAAAGCAATGTTGATACCACTTACAGGCATTAAGGATCTCACTGGAACAGTCATTACAGCATCCACATATCGAGAATTCCTCTGCTCTGGCTTGAGGGCCTGTGTTGGTGCATCATAGTCTGCCAAATTAAGCCACAGTCCACATGATAGCGCACATGTAACCCCACTCCTCAGGCTAAATGGGTAACCACGAACAAAATCTGCCCCTTTCCGGTAAGGATCATAGAGTGTGTTAAAAAAGAAAGGTGTCGCTGGAGCTTGAAGATTGGCAATATGCTGTGCCACTACATCTACTAAATCACCATTTGTGTCCCTAGCGGGAATGCAATCATCATCAATTGAGATAATATATTTTTTCCGCGATACTAGATAACCAAAGTACCTGCACGAGTAACCAGAGAAGAGAATGGAAGTGGAAGAGCCCACCACTCGGTCTATGTCAGACTTAGTAAAGACATCCACATTAAACCCTTCCGGAATGTGGAGCTCCCCATTCATATCAGGGTCTTTGACAATAATCAGGTGGAACTGGGAGAATACTGGTCTCCATTCATTCATGAATGGCTCCAGGTCGGAGTTGATTGCCGCAATCACGATGTCAACCTCATTATCGTTGATGCTTGTGTTAGACATCTTCAAACAGGCGTTGAGAGAACAAGAAACAACAAAACTTGTGTGGCCTTGTTTAATTAAAGGACCTTTGCCTTCAAAATGTTATACAATGTGCTCACACAACAACACCCAATCTCAAAACCTTTCAGAGCATCCTGCAATAGGTACTTGAAGGTCAGAACTGAAGTGTGCCAAAAGCAGTTCAAGGGTTACAGGAAAGGCAGAACACTAGAAATCCTCAAACATAACTTACTGGTAGGAAAGACAGGGGTGAGGGTATGCCGAATATTAAGTGCCTGGATTAGTGAGAGAATTTCATCTTTGCCAGTTGCTTTGAAGAGCTTCAAGACTTTCTCATTTAGCTTTCCAGCTCTCAGAGTTTTCTGCCATGAAATTGAGTGTTACTATAAGATGTTCATGTATACCAAAAACATAATTATAGAGGAAAGTAAAAGGGGTAAATAGAACGCTTAGAAAGGCAAAATGATGAAGGAATAGCAGCAAAAATCAACAAATGTCCCAAAAGCCATATAGCAGCATAGAAGCCAGAAGTAAAAAAGGACCACAGCACCAGACTACGAAAGAATAATATTCCGTTTTCTTTTGATTTGATATGGAGCAGTGTTTGATCAAGTTGGGGTCCGGGGTAGGGGATGTCTTTTTCACTGTGCTAAATAAACTTTATCCATCGGTGATCAATCAATGGGAACAATCTTTTACAAATCTTGCAGCGTCTTACAGAAATCTTGATCATTAATGTACAAGCAGTTCACATAGGTCCATGAGTGACCACGTGGACCCAGATGACAAACAGATCCAATATAAGCATTGACAAAATCATCAAATTCAAACGATAGAAATCCAAAAATGTAGAAATCCCTATATAGAATCAGACCCTTCCTCCTCTGATCTGAGCACAAAAAACCCTAATCAAATAATCAAGCGAACCAAAGCAATCAAGTAACTTTGAATAACATACATCCAACCATCATTGATTAACATGAAAAGTTTCAAAATTTAATATCGCACCAAATCAAGCCTGCCCAGTTCCCCATAACAGAAAGCAACCCATCTGGCGCCTCAAAGAAATTAAGAACAAGCATAGCAATTCATGTTAGCTGAATTAGCAAAATAGAGAGAGAGAGAGCGAGAGAGTACCAGGAAGAGATCGATGAGAATGTGTTCAGGGAGAGTTGAGAGATCGGATATGCTGGATAGGTTGAAGAGAGCTGAGTCAATTGTGAGAGAGAGCAGAGAAGGCGGAGTTCTCATTCACTCATTCATATAAATATATTTGTGCGTACGTAAAGCTAAAATAGCCAAGAATTGGTCCAACGTGTTTTCTCCGAGATTGCAGACAGCATAGAAGAAGATGAGAGAGAATGAAAAGAGGCCTAATTAATCTGACTGTTTTCTCCGTCCCAAGGTCCCTCAAGGCCATTGGCCACCTGTGTTGCTCACAACCGACACTTTCTCATTTTTAATTTAATTTAATTTATATTTCAATAAAGTTTACGTAGAAAACAATTGAAGCCCAGTGGGCTTTTAAACCCTTGTGAACTCAATGCCGTCCAGTTATTGTGGTTGGGTTGGATTGGATTGGGTTTCTAAAATTCGTTTTAATACACCCACCCAATTTAGTTACTACACCCAGCGAGCAAAACAGTTTCTCAAATTTCCAATTTGGCTTTTCGTATAGTTTTGTTCGATTTATCAATTTTAATTTAGGGCCGTTTAGAAACTTTAGCAAGTTTAGTGGGCAATTGAAGAAGCAAACAGCATGAGATTCTTTCTTTATCAAACGGCAGAACCAATTCTTTTACAAAGATTCAAAATACAGATAGTTTATGACTTTTGTGAGACTAATACACACACAACATCTAACTGGAAAGTTGAAACATATAAAACAACAAATCTACACGGGATCAATTCAGTCTAGCTTAACTCCAATTATGGACATGAGAATGCGAAGTTTGTCATTGACTTGTGCAAGATCAGGATGGTCACCAAATGATGCAGGAGGTTCCACACCAGTGAACAGGTAAAGAGCCTTGAGTTCCTCTATGCATGTTGCATGGGGTGTGGCTTTGTATCCTACTATTCTTCGTATAGCATCAATCTGTCTCCATATTTTTGCCTCATCGTACGGTACCTGAAGATGCACCAACTCCATCAGCTAAGTGAAGTCACATTAAATTTATAGAATAAAACAATTTACAACCATAGATCATCAGCAAAGTAATCACAGAAGTGATCAACAGTTTTTCCTTCTAAATGGGAGGTCAACGACTCAATAATCTGCACAACAAATCTTTTCTATCAACAACACAAACGAAAATGAATCAACCCTTTTATCTGAGATCACCAAAAGAGACGTCACACCCATCATGTAATTGAATGGTGTCATGCAACAAAAAGTAAATGTACTTGAACATGCAGATAGACTCAAAAAGAACAGTAAGAGGAGGAGAAATCGGTGTAAGGATAGGGGTAAAGAATTCGAAATGGTGCAAGAGATATCCTATTTTATGATTGAAATGGAGAATAATCAATGATAATAAGAGGAAAGAAAAGGCGCATAACTTCCGCATTTATTATGCCTAATAAATTATGAACTACAACATATATAAGGGTCCAAAGATGTATATATTAATCAAGCTCTTAAAGTCTAACCCCGTTTGGATGCATGCTGACGTCCTTTCCAGAAGATATCACAGCATCTGTAGATTCATGTGCCCTGTGTGAAACAGGAAGCTCTGCGAAATCCGCACCTTCATCACCCCCATGACCTGAAGGTTTTCCGAAATTATGAGTTAATAATCATAGAATTAGTGGAGTGGGGAACAAATTTGTCCTAAGAGAAAGGATATGAAATTACTTTGATGATCATTTTTTATCTTTACCTTCAGAAGTTTCATAAGAAGTATATTGCTGACCAGATACATTCTTCTCATCAAACAAATGAAGCCCACTTTCATCAGCAATCTCTCTTGCATCTATATTTGAGGAAACCACAGTTTCCTTCTCTCTGATCAACTGAAAATCTAAGTTATTGACATTATCCTCTGCTCTCCCTCCTTGTAGTACTATTTCCTCCTTGCTTATCACAGGCTTTTGCTTGTCTTCCACGATGCTGCTCATCACAGGCCTCAAATTTCTCGTTTCTGCCTCTAAAGCGTTGCCAACATCATTGGCTTCCCCTATTGGCTTCTCTGCCTCTAAATTATTGTCAGCATTCTTGCTTTCCAAAACACTCCCTATATCTCCAGTTGGTTTGACATGCCCAGAAACAGTAGTAGTGTTTGCATCGTTCACATGTTTCATTTCTTGGGGTTCTTGCATATCTTCACACTCTTTCAGAACTCTGCCTACTCCGCCGTCCATGGTACCAGTAGGTTTTTCTAATCTAATATCCGAAATTTTATCTTCAACTAGTATCTCTCTCTCTTCCGCATTCCAATCAAATTGTTGATCTCTTACCTCCTTACCCCCTTCAACTTCTCCTGTATACTGCTTTTCCAAATCCATTGCATTATCAGCATTGCCTTCATCCCCAATTTTTTCTAGCAATTCCCTTGTCTCTTCCACCAATTCCTCCTCTTCGGCAGTGTTACTTGCAGTTTCTTGATCCCCACTTTCTTCCATTACTATGGCAGTCACTTCAATTGGTGTCAGTCCTATTTCCTCAGCACCCTCAACTACATTTGACACCAATCCGTACATGTCGCTGACTGAATTCTCATCTAGCAAGGTATCATCCTTATAATCCTGAATCAGTCCTTCAATATTCACCACATTAGTGTTATCCAATATGAGCATTTCCTCCACATCCGTAGACTCACCAACATCCTCCTCATATCTATTTTCGTTTTCAGCAAAATATTCTTGTGCATTCTTCTCAACACCCTCTTGCACACACTCATCCCCCTCCTCAATTCTCCCTTCCTCAAAAATTTCCTCATTTTCCTCCTCTACTAATTCGATTCTCATCTTGCCTCCTCCCAGTATATCCCCACTATCCCATCCTTCCTCCTTTTCGGTATCAATCTTTCCTCCCTGTTCCTCACCCTGCTCTTCTTCTTCTTCATCATCATTTGACATTAATGTGCCATTTTCCAACAAAAGAGGAGGTGTACTATAAGGAAGCAACTTACTCATGAGCTTCTTAGTGCAAGCATAACTTGCCAAGACAACGGCACATGGAACACAAAAGGCAAAGCCAATTGCTGAAATAACCATAAGCGGTGGAAGAAGCAATGGTGCAGAAGAAATTACAATAGCAGTGACCAGAATTTTTTTTCCAAGTCCCAATCCCTTGTTCATGATCCAACTCACCCTGCCACTGTTAGCTTCAGCCCAGTTGTCTTCAATCTCCGCCGCCTCCTCACTCGGGTCTCCCATCCTCTGTCTATATAGCAACGAAATAAATTTGCAAGTTATTTGGTATTTCGGATTCCAAACGTATATAGGAAGATAAATTGTTTCATTTGAATCGCTTGGAAATTGATCGAACAGAAAAAATAAAATTCAACACAAAAAAAAAGTCTCCAACTATTGAAGGGCATCATCATCTAGCACGCAAGCTGGCCAAATAACAGTAACCCAAGTAATGACAAATAAAATTTGAAGCAAACATGAGAATTAAAATTACTCATGATTTTTCTTATCAAATTTTTAGTGATCAAATCAAAGAAATGATGATGTGGTGCTCAGTCAGGAAAATGAAAGAAAAGTCGGAATTAAGGCAGCCAATGGATCAGAATGTCGAAATGAATTAACCATTAACCATTAAATCTTGAATTTGATTCTTCCCCAGAAATATTAGTTCTAGAAATGAAGCAAATAAATAAATCTTAAAGCGTAAACTTACATGAATTTGGGGTTCTATTCTATGTACATGTAGTGTAGCTGCTACTTAGCTTGACTTGATCTCAAGCTGAAATACAACCGTTGGAGCAGGAATTAGCTTGACTTGATCTGTATCAGCTATGGTTTTGTACTGGAAGGAAGCCACTCCTCATATGCAATGCACCATGCGCATGTTTATGGAGTTTTATAAACATCTCTCTCAGACTCAGAGTACTCTCGAGTCATAAAACCCTAAGAAAAAGGACCCATACAAGAAGATAAAGGAGTTTAGTTTAGAGCAGACGACGGATTGACACGCGTCGAGAAGGGCATTGACAGGTGCAGGCTAAAGGACAAACGACCAGGCGAGTGCTCTTTATCTCGTCTGCTACTGCTACTGCTTTTGCTTTTCCCTATCGCATGCAGCATGCAGGCGGCGGCTGATTATAATAATTGATCAACTCTCAACGTGGCTGCATACAACAACACCACCTGCACCTCCGCCTCTGACTAGGCAGGCAAATCTTGTTACTGAGCATTCCATATAATACTTGCTATTTTAAACAAAATTATATATATGTAACATGTGTATTGCGGTTAAGTTTAACGTGTTACGTATTTTAAGTACACGAGAGTTAAGTTAGTTAATTAAAAAATCTACTCGTCTTTTCCATTCAAATTTAAATTCATTTTTTTATAAATCAGTAATTTACATATAGACTTATGGAAAATTATATTTTAAAAATGAATAGTAATAATTATAACTGCGCATAAGTTATACTGGTAACATGCCATGAAGAAATTTTTCTTAATTAGCACAAGTAAGAAAATATTTACATATGTTCATAACTATTTATATTATACAATTCCATGCTATAAATGATAGAAATGCAATGGTTCGCCAACAATGGAAAGATGTTATAGGTTGTTGATTTAATTTAAAAATTACAATAACAAGTCATGGTAGATGAATTTAAAACTATTTTGCAAACAATATACGAGGGTTAAGTTAGTTGGTCACTTTAGTGAGTTCAGTTCCTTGCACCCAAGTTCGAATTCCTCTTCACCTAAATTAGATTAATAGAATGTTTACTAATCCGTAATTGGATTATGAGGAATTGAATTGAGGAGGAGTTAGATTGAAGTTGTTTAATAAATCATATGGAATTGGAGTAGAAGTGGCTCTAATTACTAAGATGTCCTCATTGTTATGTTAAAGTAGATAACAAATTTGAAAATTTGAAAATTGTGTGAGGATATAATGGGTAAAAAAAATGAATTTCTAATGGGTTAGTTCTCCATGAATTAGAATATCACATCCTACCTAAGAATTGAATTCCTTCAAAATTAGGAATTGAATTCCTAATTTTGTGTGCTTACTTTTCAATTCTTTGATGTGAAGTAAACGCATGAATCCCCCATAGATGGAATTCAATTCCTAATGAGAATTTTAATTTATGATTAGTAAACACACCATAATTAGAGTAGACTATCCTTTGTACACAAATTCAATTTTCAACAAATTACTGCATGGCTAATAAGGTGGGCTTTTATTGGGCCGAGATTGTGCTTGGGTTGCACACGAGTTCTAGGCCCAGGTAGTCGTTAATATGTTACGGAGTAGGAGCAGGAGCAGGAGTAGTGTTTTTCTTGTTTTGTTTGGTTATTTTGCTATAAGGAGAAACTGACCAAGGCGAGTAGGGTAAGCAAATAACAGGGTCCAAACAGACTCATCCTCAACACAAACGGTAGCTGAAGACACTCACCAAAACCCTAAAAACACACTCTTTCTCCTTCGTCTCACTACTGCGCCCTCTTAATCTCTGGCTTCTCTGTGACGCTTCTCTCTAAACAAGGAGAAGGCAAAACATGGGGGACGTCATGGTGTTGAACGACATAGAGGCGACGGCGGCCCGAATCGGAATAGACCTCTCGCAGCTGGACCTCGATTCCATTCGTCTCCCTCCTGGTGAAAATTTTGGCATTATAAGGTAACCCTGGCTCAAACCTAAAACCCTATCCCTGCCGCATAAATTTTTTTATAGCAAGATTTGGCTGTATGGAATTCAAATTTCTCTGTGTTGTCTATGTAGCATGCTTTAGACGATTTTTAATTAATTAATTAATTTATTTGTGGTTGCGTAGCGATGATGAGGATATATACCAAGAGGAAAATTCGGAGCTGGACTCAGGGTTTGGCAACATAATTGTTGTTGATAACCTCCCGGTGGTTCCTAAAGAAAAGTACGAGAAGCTTGAAAATGTCATTCGTAAAATTTACAGTCAGATTGGTCTTATCAAGGACGATGGGTTTTGGATGCCACTTGATCCCGAAACCCAAAAAACGTTGGGCTATTGCTTCATCGAGTACAATACTCCTCAGGTATCTTTGTCTCTTAAAAATTAAAAATTTGTGTTCTTTGTGCTCCGAATGAATTTTCACCAATTGATACATAAGTAATCATTAACCATCACTTGGGATCAAATTATGTATAAATACGTGAAAAATTGAATTGAGATATGACCATGTGTTAATGTAATTTTAGGAAGCTGAGCTTGCCAAGGAGAAGACTCATGGATACAAATTGGACAGATCACATATTTTTGCTGTCAGCATGTTTGACGACTTTGATAGGTTCATGAAAGTTCCAGATCAATGGGCCCCTCCAGAAAGTAATCCGTACAAGCCAGGGGTAATTATGCTCTGATCCATCACTTTTTTGTACATCGTGAATTAGGTATTTTTAGGCTCTGGTATTTATTGTGCTATCTACTTGGACATCTTTACAGGAGAATCTTCAACAATGGCTTACTGATGAAAAGGCCCGAGATCAGCTTGTGATTCGTGCTGGTTCGGATACGGAAGTTTTGTGGAATGATGCACGGCACTTGAAGCCTGAACCTGTTTACAAGCGTGCTGTGAGTGGATATCATATCTCAAATTATATATTTTTTCCTCAAAACAGTCACCTTTTGTCTTATATAATTATTTAGGGTTTAGGGTAAATGATCATCTCTGTTTCCTGTTACAGTTCTGGACGGAAAGCTTTGTGCAATGGTCCCCTCTAGGGACTTATTTGGCAACTATTCACAGACAGGGTGCTGCTGTTTGGGGAGGTGCCTCTACCTTTAATCGTCTGATGCGTTATGCTCATCCCCAGGTTATTTTTGGTTTTTGGTTTCCAATTTAATTAGTATGTTGTAATTTTTCTTTCTTGGTCCTAAACTCTAACTGTCAACTGCAGGTTAGACTGATTGATTTCTCACCTGGTGAGAAATATTTGGTGACCTACAGCAGCCATGAACCAAGCAATCCTCGTGATGCAAATGTGAGTTCTTTGGATAATGTGATTTATTGCTTTTTGTGATTTATTTTTGCCTTGCTTCCATTACTAATGTCAAGTTATTTTATAGAGGGTCGTGATAAACATTTTTGATGTGAGAACTGGAAAAGTAATGAGAGATTTTAAAGGAACTCCTGAGATTTTGCAATTGGAGGAACTGGAGGTGTTGCTGGGGTGTCTTGGCCGGTGTTCAAGTAATTTTTCTATGCCACTAATCTACGGTGTGATTTTGAGTGTTTTTAGTGTAACTTGGCATGCTTAACTTTTTCATTTATAATATTTTCAGATGGGCTGGCGGAAAAGATGATAAGTATTTTGCCAGAATGGGCAAAAATGTTATCTCTGTTTATGAAACAGAGACATTTTCACTTGTAGACAAAAAGTCCATGAAGGTTGAGAATGTTATGGACTTCAGCTGGTCACCAACTGATCCGATTCTTGCTCTATTTGTTCCAGAATTGGGTGGTGGCAACCAACCTGCTAGGGTGCGCATTCTTGTTTCATTTGACTGGCTGTTTTCCTAGATTTGGTATTTTATTTGTGTCCTTTTATTATTTCACTGTACTGTGTGAACTAATGCTTCACTTGATACAAATAGGTGAGTCTTGTTCAAATCCCCAATAAAGAGGAGTTGAGGCAAAAGAATCTTTTCAGTGTCAGTGATTGCAAAATGTACTGGCAAAGCAATGGGGAGTATCTTGCTGTTAAAGTTGACCGGTATACAAAAACAAAGAAAAGCACATACACAGGCTTTGAGCTTTTCCGAATCAAAGAGCGAGACATCCCCATCGAGGTTTTGGAGCTTGAGAATAAGAATGACAAGATCATTGCATTTGCTTGGGAGCCCAAGGGCCATAGGTTTGCAGTTATTCATTGTGATAATACGAGCTCAAATAACAACCCAAGGCCCGATGTAAGTTTCTACTCCATGCGTAGTGGTCACAATACAGGCCGTGTTTCAAAGCTCACTACTCTGAAAGGGAAGCAAGCAAATGCTCTTTTCTGGTCACCTTCAGGGCGCTTTATAATACTCGCAGGATTGAAAGGTTTCAATGGGCAGCTGGAGTTTTACAATGTGGATGAGCTTGAAACCATGGCTACTGCCGAGCATTTTATGGCAACTGATATTGAATGGGATCCTACTGGAAGGTAAAATTTTGGATATGTTACTATTTAGCAAAGAATTTTACTTGTCTTGATTTTGACATGTTAGCTTTTGCTTTCAGATATGTTGCTACTGCAGTGACTTCAGTTCATGAGATGGAGAATGGTTTCAACATATGGTCCTTCAACGGCAAGCTACTTTATAGGATACTAAAGGATCATTTTTTTCAGGTAATGCCATTTGAGAGTATGCACTAAATTTTATCTGCAGGCTCTTTGTTTTTACATTTCACTTGGTGTTTAAAAAACTTTAATCATGTGTATTTAATCAAGATCCTTACATCAACAAAAACAAAATTATTTGAGGGATCCCTCAATGGAAGGTGACTATATATATATATATATGTATATGTATGTATTTGATGAAGTTTGTTGATAGTTTGGAAGTACCACGTGCATCGTAGTGTCCTTTGTGACAAAAGATAAATTCCAATTGAAATAGATGTCATCCTGTGGTGACTAGTTTTTTTAAAATTTCTGTTTTGTAATTGATATTAGTAGGCATTTGTTTTGGTTATGTATTTTTTCCCTGTCTCAATTACATGTTTTAACTGCTTAGCCCAAACAAAAGGAAAAGAAAAGGAGGTAGATGTTCTAATCATTTGCGGGACACTTGTTTTCTTCTTATTTGTTATAGTTCTTATGGCGCCCAAGGCCACCATCATTCCTGACTCCTGAGAAAGAGGAGGAGATTGCAAAGAACTTGAAAAAGTACAGCAAGAAGTATGAGGCCGAGGACCAGGATGTGTCGATGTTTTTGAGTGAGCAGGATCGCGAGAAGAGGAGGATGTTGAAGGAAGAGTGGGAGAAATGGGTGGCTGAGTGGAAGCGGTTGCATGAAGAAGACAAATTGGAGAGGCAAAAGCTCAGAGAAGGAGAAGCAAGTGATGAAGAAGAGGAGTACGAGGCAAAAGATATTGAGGTTGAAGAGGAATTGGACGTTTCAGAGGAGGTCGTTTCTTTTGAAGATTGAGTGTTATTTAGATTATAGTTTTGCAGCTTATGAATCTGCTAGATTTTATCATTTGAACACTGTATAACTACATCCTTAGATTATGCTAAGAGCTTCCGGATCAATTTTGATTTTGTTCCATGTTCTGTTTTTGTTTATGAACTGATATTGATTGATCCAATTATTTAAGTTTGTTTCACACTTTCAGTGGCATATGTTGTTTTATGTTCATGTATTTCTGGAATTGTGGATTTACTTATAATATTTTTGCACAAAATTCCGATTATGGAAAATGTTTCGATTGTAATTTCTGAACTAATATAAAGGTTATGCCATCCCCAGAGTCTTTTATAAAACGAACTGGAGGGACGTTTTTGGTATTGTTTGTCTTTTTATTTTACGATGAAATGGGGTGGGAAACACTCTAGAGACGAGAAATTATAGAGTAGTACGGTATCACCATGTCAATTGATGATACTTCCATTTAAATTTGTCATGTGTACAACTTTTTAAAGAAAAATTTGCCATGATTTTTTATTTATTTAAAAAATAAAAATAAAAGAAAATCCGATGGGCAGCCATGGAAAAAAGTGGGGAGGAGGAGCTTTGGCGGCGAGCTTAGGGAAAGGGTTGCTAGGGATTTTTTATTATTATTGAGTTTTATTTATTATTTATTTTCTATGGTTTTAAATTATAAAATTGAACTTTTAAATCCAGCTGTATAAAAAGTTATACACATGACAAATTTTAAATGGAAGTATCACCAATTGACGTGGTGATATCGTATGATTCTATATTTCTCCCAACGAAGGACCGAAAACAACTAAAACCAAATCAAGAAAAGAAAATTTTGTTTTTATTTTTGTCGGGTCGACCCAATCCCATGCTGAACGACCCATGAAATGACTTATAAATACTTGGGCCTGGTCATTGTTATCCAAATTTCCAAGGCCCGGGCCTACCAAGTCTTTCACGATTGCCTATGTAATTGTCGGAAAGACTCGAGTGTTTGCACGTGCACCACCACTCATCCCGAAAGCTTGATAAGCTCTTACCTCGTCTCGGGAAGAAAAGGGAGACCCAAAAACTCAAATTTCTTTTTGTGTTTCGAATTGATTTGGAGCAGTACTTTGATAGAACGAGAACATGAAGATTGTTCGCAAGGACCTTGTTCCAGGCGGACCCGGCAGCGTTAAGGTACTGTTACTATTATTATGATGATTATCGTAATTGTTCGTTTGTTTTTGTTGGTTTGGGTGTAAGCATTTTTGTGTGGAAACAACTAGTGTTAATCTTTATTCTGAGTTGAATTTTGGGTAACTTTGGCATTGGTGGGTGTGGCAGATGATACCGGTCGATTCCGATGATCTATGGTATGCTTATAATTTGATTGCTCCAGGAGACATAGTTATGGCTGTCACTGTTAGGTAAAGTCCTTTTTCTTTTAGTATCACTTTGCAATCTATGTGAGTGGTATCCTTCTATGTTTCTTAGTGTATATTTGCTTATATACATAGAGGGTATCCTGATTGCGTGCATGATATTCTTTTTTACATAACTCGTGCTCAGAAACCTGTTTGAATAAAATAACATGTATCCAGTAGAAATTTTCTTGATAACCATATACATTCTGTAATAGGAAAGTTCTGAGAGAAAGTGCTTCTGGTGGAAGAGATGCAGAGCGTGTGAAACTGAAGTTAGAGATAAAAGTTGAGGAGGTAATGGAGAAAAGTTAGATCCAATTTCATAAGGGTTGGTTGTACATGTGTGTGTAACGAAGTTTTCTCAAGATGCTTTTTGTTTCGTATTATGTTCTTCTTCCCCATATTCCTATTAGGTTGCTGATTATGACAAAGTAGGAGCTGTCTTGCGTATACGTGGAAAGAATATCCTGGAGAATGAATATGTAAAGGTAATTGTGGCCTTAAGTTGATTTATAAACTGATGATTTGGAAATTTTGAAGTTCTTCTTTAAGTTTTTTGTCTTCTTATTGTAGATAGGAGCATTTCACACTTTGGAACTTGAGCTGCAGCGACCTTTTGTGTTAAGAAAGGCATGCTTTTTGTTAATCCGTACAAATTATAACAAGCCATATTTTCTTTTTCGGTGTTGAATTCTTTGAATACTATGATGTATAAAACCTGTTATGCAATGTGTTGACTTGTGGCATGCTGTGTCGTATGTTCTAGGATGTCTGGGATTCATTGGCCTTGCACGAACTCAATCAAGCCTCTGGTATGCCCTCTTTTTTCCCCTTTTCTCTTTTAAATGATTCTTTTAGATTCTTAACTTAGTAGTACTCCTTTTTCTTGTGGTATTGATCAATTAGTCTTAAAAATTGTCTCATGCCTGTCTTCATCATTGACTCTAGCCCTATGCTAGGTTATTAGGGATGGAGGTTGATGTTTAGGTCCAATCTCTACTGGGTGCATTCCTAAGTTGTGGCCAAAAAAAGAAAGAATAAGTACATGGTAGGATTGATAAGAAAAACTAACTTGATTCCAAAATTAGCCGTCACATAAATGGCAATTTAGAAGTGCTTAAGCTTGGAAGTGTCATCTAGGTTACCAAGTATGAACGCTGAAGAATTTGAAATCAACCTTTTATGTGATGGTCTTGTCTCAACAATTTTCAGATCCTGCTGCAAGTGCTGATCTAGCTGTGATCTTAATGCAAGAAGGATTAGCACATGTTCTCCTTGTTGGTAAAAGGTGTGTCTGACTTCATTCGGGACATGCGTCCTTGTTTGAGTTTTGTACTACACTATCAGTTGATGGTCTCCATGGACAATTTCAAGCCTATTTTGATAACTACTTGAATAATTAGGCACATTACTCACTCTAGTTTTCATTCGCGCCTATTCTTCTGGTAGTTATTTGCATTAGGATCATGGTAATATCCTTGAAATGTGTGCTAGGAAACTGCATGACAGACTGGTCAATGTTTTTACGAAAATGTGGACTTCGAAAATCTCAGTTATAAAAAGCTCAAAATCTAGATCATGCATGTGTACACTGTGATCCTATATTACTTACTATGTTCTTGCATTGACGACCTTATGCGACTAATGTTTTTGCAACTAATTATATCAGTATGACAATTACTCGTTCACGGATAGAAACTTCAATTCCTCGCAAGCATGGACCTGCCATTGCAGGTTATGAGTCGGTACGCTTCTTTTTCTTTTCAGAATTTATATTTCCCGAAATGAAGTTATCCGGTAAGACAGATGTTCTGATAATTTCAATAAATATTGTATCACTAATATCTTTGTGTCTTCTACAGGCTTTGAGTAAATTCTTTGAGAATGTATTACAGGTAATTTCTAGTTGAGTTTTATTTCTGAAGCTCCTTACACTTTCAAACATAGCTTGCCTGTATTGTAACAGGTGTCTATATCTTGCAGGCTTTCTTGAAGTATGTTGATTTCAGTGTTGTCCGCTGTGCTGTGATTGCAAGTCCAGGTTTCACAAAGGTGTGATATGAGTCCGTATGAGTTTTTATTTTATTTTTAAACTCAGTTTTAGTGTGAATTAAAATCCCATTAAAAGTTATTTTACTTGTGGACTATATACTAGCACTACAAATAGTGCTTTCTTATGAACTACTAATGATGTAATGTCATGTGCTTCAGGATCAGTTTCATCGTCACCTATTGTTGGAGGCAGAAAGAAGACAGCTGAGATCTATCATTGAAAACAAGTCGCGAATAATTCTTGTGCATACAAGCTCAGGTTACAAGTATGGTCATGTGTTATTTATAGTATCAATCTCCTGACATTTCTGATGGAAAATTGACCTTTCATAATTCCCTGCCCATAACTAAAATCGACAATGCTGCATTGCCCTCGACAAGCCTAAGAATGGTTTAAATCAAAACTACTTCTTTATTTTTCTGTAAAATGTTCCGGATTTTACCCTTTTATCATTTTCATTTTCCACTGGATCACATTGTTGGAGTCGTCCACATTTCATGTTAGTCTAGCGACTATGGATTAATGCGTTTCATGATTTTTATCGCTGCAATTGGTGTTACTTTTTTAGTGAGCGATCCCCAGCATGAGCTGGCAACATATCATGTGTATCACTTTCTTAAAGAGTAACTGTGGCTTTATCAATTCATAAATCCAGTACGTGTGATCCTTATTTTCTCAGAAAGAGGAAAAAGAAAAAAGCAATTCCTATTTAATATTGTTGCTGACCTATGCTGCATTGTTCTTCTATTGTTTTGAATCTTATTCACATCTGTGCATTTTATCTTCTTGCAATGACAGGCATAGTTTGAGGGAGGTTCTGGATGCTCCAAATGTTATGAATATGATTAAAGATACTCAAGCAGCACAAGAGGTACAATACCCAATTTGGTTAATTTTGCAACTTCTTCACTTTTCATTGCCAAAATAAAAAAGTAAAAGAAAGAAACTTATTTCCCACTTTGTTTCGAAGAAGAACTGTACAAGTCCATCCATCCTACATGTCTACATCAAATAACAATGAAAAGAAAATATGAACTTATGCATCTTTTCTGTCTGTTGGTGGTTCAACAACACTGATATGATTGCATGTGGTGATCACTATTGGTATACAGTTGCATTATGTACTGGGCCCTTTCTTTTTCAGGTCCGAGTTCTCCAAGATTTCTTCGGCATGCTTTCAAATGTCAGGTTCTAAAACTGAAATGTCAATTTTGTGGCTTTATTTTTAAGGTTATAATTGGATGCTAACTGACGATCCTTTGGAACAATGATTGGAGGTTTAATCTTGATAAGCATGTGCACAAAGTCAATAATTAGGTGAAGACTGAAAAAAACTTGGGATTTACCTCTTTACGTGCACTGAAATTTGATTGATTCCATGATATCTTGTGACTGGCAGACATCACTTAAAACAAGGTCCTTGCTAAGGGATTCATGTATAGGTAGGTAGATACAGAAAAAGATTTGAACATGTTAACATGGTCATAATTAAGAAGACTAAGATTAGAATGGAGAGTAACCGCCACAAATGAGCAACAAGGAAACTTCAATTCAGTGGTCACACCCTCCAACGCAAAAGTCAATTTATGTGTCTGATAGTTTGTGTAATGGATAAATCTCTGTAGTTTTTACTTGTCGGAAGTATTCTTTATATTATTTATTGTAGTTGTGTTATCTTTTCGTTTTCCAACATTGTCAAGCATTTAACATCATGATTGAATTGTTGTTGTTATTCTGCAGGATCCAGATCGTGCATGCTATGGACCAAAGCATGTTGAAGTTGCTCATGAACGAATGGCTATCCAAACCCTTTTGATAACAGATGAACTCTTCAGGTTAGTTTATGGGTTTTCTGTCCAGCTAATTGAGAAGTAGCACCACGTGATTTTATTTTTGATAATAAAGTTCTATATTACATGGATGTTCAAAGCATGTTTTCTGAAATCAACACAGTTATTTACATTGTATTTCCTTCAATTCTTTTGTGTTTTATTTTACTTTTCGGGGGAGGGAAAAAGTTTTGTGCTTGGTACAAAAACTGCTGCATAAATCTATTATTAGCTTTAGATTCAAAAGATGCTAATTTGCTTGATGGCTTGGCGGATGTTATTTTTGCTTGGAAAGGGCGTGGTCTGGGAGATTTGTTACTCCTTAACCTGAAACCTAACATGCCGAGGTTCACTGGCACATTCATACTCGCTAGCAGTTCTAGTTGATTAGGTACTTGTGCACTCTCTAAATAAGTTACTCATGCACCAATCACTGTTAAAGCTTTGTGGTTACGTTCACACTCATGCACATACATCTTGTCATAATTCCATTAATGAGTAAATTTAAGATGTCCCGGTGCCTGCCCCTCGTGTTTCCTTTACCATACTGATTCTTTACTAATAATGAAATGGTCCAACATGGTCTGTCCATTACAGGAAAATGTGGAGAAATGTATGTAAGTTTAAGGGGGTGTAACTTTAACATTTTCTTGATGGACAGGAATGCGGATGTAGTAGCAAGGCAAAAGTATGCCAATTTGGTGAAATCAGTGAAGGATTCAGGGGGCACTGTTCATATTTTTTCTTCTTTGCATGTTTCAGGAGAACGTGAGTATTTACATTGTTCATACAAATGCTGCTTTAAGTATCTGGTACTTTTTAGATATACTTTCCTGAACCAACTTTCTAATTATCTTATCAATGAACAGAACTGGCACAAATAACTGGGATCGCTGCAATCCTTCGTTTCCCTCTACCAGACCTAGACGACATAGAGATGTAATCGAACAAGTGATCTGTTGGAAATTATCCATCATGTGTTGTAGATCATAGTTAGGTATAAGTTATGTACTATTTTGGCCAATGCTTTGTACACCTACACAAATAACAATTGTAACATCTAGGGGAAAGCTGCAAAGGTGGAAGATGCGTGAAGCTTTGAGGATGAGTTTTGTTGGCGTTGGGTAGTTTGATTGGCGTAGCAATTAGTTTGCTTGCATACAACGGAGTCTTTTAATTTGTTTGACCAATGACTCCTTGTTAAAGTGTTGCAAATATTGTTTATATCGTATTGAGTAAAGTATATATTTACTTTAATTTGAGTGGCCCCATTGTTTTGTTTAATATGAGAAAGAAACTTCTTCTTTTTACAAATCTTGTTTTCCCTTTATAATAAAAATGATGTGGAGATTGAAAATGGTATATACTGAACCAGCTAAATCTCCTCTCCTAAAGCAGAGGAGGTATAACTATATTTAGCTACAAGTACATGCGGTGAAAATTAAAAAACGGCCAAAACCCCGAATGGAGTTGCACCATTTTTGCAAGTTTTTATAAATTGAGGGCTATTTTAAGAGAGGTGTTGTGGGATCAGGTATTCCAAAGAATGAGGAACCAAACTGAATTAGCAAGAGAAACAAGGAGTTATGTGTCTCTCCTGGTTTCGTTTCTTGGGTGGATGTCAAGGGTTAATCAAAGTATAATCCATACTTTGAAAGATCCAAGTTTTGGGGGAAAGTGGTAATTAACTTTCTTAGATTGTTCAATGAGTCTTGGCTAAGAAAGTTAATTACCTCTCTTTGATTGTTGTGGGGGCTGCTTATGCTTATGAGTATTTACCCTCACATTCACGGCAAAAGTTCGGTTTATTGCCCACCATTTTGTTAAAAGAAAGAAAAGGAAAAGAAATATATAAAAAAAATATTGTTGAAAGAAAGATGCCAAGAGGGGTTGTTGTGGTTGTACGTGGGGTGAGGCAAAATGACGGTAACATCACCAACGTTGTGTTGGCGAATTGTGTGATTGCTTCCTTGGGTGGCCTCATCTTTGGTTATGACTCAGGTTGAGCTCAAGCTCTTACCAACCATGTAATTTCATTTTTCTTTCTTCTTCTTTTTTCCCCCTCAAACTGGGAGGAGCAAGTTCTTCTCAACGTTTAACAAAAAAAATTCCTGGGTTTTTGTATACTACATACCAAGATGTTGAATAGAATGGTAACCAAAACTTGTGAAATGGTAATTGTATTGCAGGAGGGGTGCTTTCAAGGGAACTGTTCCTGAAGAAGTTTCTTCCGTCTGCATTACTGAAACACAACGATGAAAGGGATCATGAAAACATGTACTGCAAATCAGAAGATCGCCAGCCAATGGTAATGTTTACCTCCTCTCTTTACCTTGCAGCATTGGTAGCCTCCTTGGTTGCTTCTACAGTAACCAGGGCCTGTGGTCGAAACATGTCCATGCGCATTGCCAGTTTTATATACTTGATCGGAGCCATCCTAACCGCTGCTGCGTTGAACATACCCATGCTGATCGTAGGCCGCATATTGCTCGGTATAGGCATTGGTTTTGCCATTCAGTCTAGCCTAATCTATTTGTCAGAAATGGCACCGGCATTTATCAGAGGAGCTCTCAACTTCGGGTTCCAAATGAATGTGACGATTGGGATATTGCTGGGAAATTTTGTCAACTATGGCACTGGCCAAATAAAGGGTGGATGGGGATGGAGACTCTCTTTAGCTCTAGCAGTTATCCCAGCAGTCATGCTTGTTGTTGGGTCTCTCTTCCTACCAGACACTCCCAATTCTATGCTTGACAGAGGCCAACCAGCTGACAAGGTAAAGAAGATGTTACAGAATATTCGGGGCACACAAAATGTGGAGGAGGAGTTCCAAGACCTTGTTTATGCATCCGAGGCTGCAAAAAAAGTAGATTCTCCTTGGAAACAGCTCCTGCTGCATCCCAGATATAGGCCTCACCTTGTCATGTGCGTCCTGGTTCCAGTTTTCCAGCAGCTCACTGGCATTAATGCCATCACATTCTATGCACCAGTCCTCTACAAGGCATTAGGCTTTGGCCAGCAGGCTTCGCTTGTGTCATCAGCTGTAACCGGCGTTGTCAATGTGGTTGCTACTTGTGTTTCTGTGGCGGGGGTGGACACTTTTGGGAGGAGGCCTCTGTTCCTACAAGGCGGTGTTCAAATGTTTGTATGTCAGGTGGCAGTGGCAACCATGGTAGCGATAAAGTTCGGAGTGTCTGGCCAAGGGAACTTGACGCAAAGCGAGGCTGATTTTCTGCTGATCTTAATTTGCTTCTATGTAGCAGCATTTGCATGGTCTTGGGGACCATTGGGATGGTTAATACCAAGTGAGATGTGTCCATTGGAGGTGAGATCAGCAGGGCAAGCCCTGAATGTGTCTATAAACATGTTGTTCACATTTGGGATGGCTCAGTCTTCCCTCGCTCTGTTTTGCCACCTCAAGTTTGGGCTCTTCTTTCTTTTCGCCGGATTTGTGGCGCTCATGACCATCTTCATATACTACTTCCTGCCTGAGACCAAGAACGTTCGGATCGAAGACATGGACAGTGTGTTCAGGGAACACTGGTTCTGGGGGAGGTATATCCCAGATGAGGTTCATGAACTTGACATGCATTATTGAGAATGTCCAATCTCCATCATCCATCATCCATCACCCATCACCCATCACCGTGATTGAGATTGATCAAAATATGCAGGCCAGGCCTAACCAAGGGGCTATCAGCTCATCACAAATGTTAATTAACTTGACAAAGTTTTAGTTTGCACTTTAGGTCCAAATTAAGTGTACAAATTTCTAGTTATTTATACATCCATTAACTTGATGATGAGTCTAAATTTGATCATCAAACTGTCCTTCCATCTTACAAATCAAGAAAACTAAGAAAATGGGGATGAAGGAAGAACTTGGAGGTTTCCACTCCAAAACATCTTCACAACTTTCTAGACTTCTCATCTCATACCATGAAACACCCAAAAAAAAGAAGAAGATAGATATCTAATTAAACAAACAGAAGTATTTCTTATCATCGTTTTCAATTTTGATCATACCACGTGGCAGCTTCATACTGGTCAGCCAATTGACCATTTGTGTGACCGCATTTTGGGCCAAATCATCCCACAACAAAAAGGAAAAGCCTAAAACCCTGAAGCACCTCCTCCTCCTCGTTCCGCATCATCCCCAGTAATGGCAACCTCCAAACTCTCGTCCCACATCCGTCGTCTTCGCCCATCCGCCTTCAACTTCCTCCCCGCTCTCTCTCACGCCCGTCAATTCCATTACCTCACAAACCCTAACCATAACTCTAACCTTCTCTCACCTCACCCCCCATGGAACTCCTACGCCTTTCCTCAAACTCTCACTTTCTCTCACTCTCGATTTCTCTCCAGTAGCTCTTCAGATGACTCGGATTTCGTTCAACTCGGCGTCTCCGGCGCCGACTCAGCGGCTCAGTCGGAGCTTTTGAATTTAGGTGGTTGCGCTGGTGAAGAGTATCTGCTCCCCGTTCGAGCGCTAATTTCGGTGCTTGATGGGTTTCATGATCTCACTCGTTTGCCATGGTGGGTGTTGATTGATTTATGCTTTATTTTGAAACTGCGGCCGAAATGTGGAATTTTTAGTATATATATATATATATATATTTTTTTTTTTTATTTTTTTTTTTTTTTTTTTTTTTTTTTTTTTTTTTTGTTTGGATTTGTATGCTCTTTTTTATATTTTGTAATTCATTTTCTGTGATTTTAAATTATTAACAGGTGGATGGTTATTGCGTCCTCTACTTTGGCTATGAGACTTTCATTGCTCCCCTTGCTCATCGTGCAACTGCAAAAATTGAAAAGAATTGGAGAGTTACTTCCCAAATGTGAGTTTTAGAATTCCAATTCAATTCGCTTGTTTGATTGCTCTACTTTGTTATTCCCTCCAGCCAATTTCACTTTTACCCGTACGAACGGTTCTTGCATTGCTTTTATCCGACCACAGTGTGTGCATTAGCATTTAGTTAAACCTGAGCGTTCTGTATTTTGTTTGGCACAAAAATAATATAACTACTAACTAGCTACTGTTATTTTTACTTTTGTATTTTCACTTTACGAATAGATTTTGAAGCAACTATTTGCACTTTATTGTTGTTCTTTTCCTACAATTAAGTCCTTTCTTTCTTTAATTTTTTTTCCTTTTAACGTAGCCATGTATTTATTTGTTTATTTTTATATTTATTAAATTTTGTTTGACTCATATGAATTTCTCATAGTGCCTCCTCCACTGCCACCACCTTTCTCAGGAAAGAGTTCTCTTGATCAGATTTCTCTATTTCGGAAGGAAAGAAGTGCAATCGGATGTCCCTCATTGTTATGGTTCCTTGCATCCTTCTCTGTCCAGGTAATTTTCTTATATGATGTTTGGGTTTAAGGGAAAGAGAGAACCTTTCTATTGCTGGATGATTGATGTGAACCTTTATTTTTTATATTTTTTTTTCATTAGGCAGCCCTGATTTTAATCTTGTTTCAAATACATAGGATGGTTCAATAATAATTGATTAGAAATCCTTTAAATCTGTCTTGTATATCTTGCACATATCTTCAATTTAGTTTGCTGACTATAATGTTTACTTGTATATTGGACTCCTCATACATGTGAAATAAATGAGCTATAAGACGATAAAGGGCACAGTTGAGTGATAAATTTTCAAGGTTGGCGAGAGTTAACAAGCTTGATGACTAATATAGTCAGTTTGAAGGCTTTGGTCAAACTACGAGTGCTAAGAGTTTCTCAAGAAAAGTGTGGGTTATGGTTGTGAGAAAAAGATGTCTTGGTCTTTTCACTAAAACAAAGAATTTTGTGTTTTTGCTAAATATATGTATTGTTAGATAATTTTTTCTTCTTCAATAATTAACAATGTTTCCCTGTCTTATAATTCATCTGCAGGTTCCATGCTTTCTTCTGTGGTTGAATAGCATTCGGAGAATGTCACTGGGTAATCATCCTGGGTTTGATTGCGTAAGAATGTATACAGTTTTCTTTTGGTCATTTTTATGTGATGCTTATCTATTCTATGGTATGTGGAAACCGAAATGTATAATGCTTCAGAGAATTGACCATAGTGCAGTTCTAAATCTTTGGTAGCATTTATGCAACTTTTCTTTTAGCCTTAAAAGCAGATGAATATGGAATTCTTTTATTTCATTTCAGGGTGGCACTTTGTGGTTCAACAATTTGACTGAATTGCCTCATGGTGTTTATGGCGCCATCTTTCCTTTCCTGATTGCTGGTTTGCACTATGCAAATGTTCAGGTACTTAATCATGTACTTGGTCTCTATTGATTTCAGATTCAAGTCATTTATCTTTTTATCTATTTTACCTTGTATCAACCTTCTGTGGAGTTATATTATATGGTCAAATGTGTGAGAAGAATTTTCAAACCGTAGAGATGATGGTCCCATTGCCCCATGTGTGGGTGCTTTAATGTGATATTTTTATTGTACTGTGGTTTGCAGAACTCAAAGGCAATCTGATAAGTGAAATTAAAAATTTAAAGATCGTTGAAAATCAATCTAATTTAAGGCTGGATCAATTTTGAGTTTTCTTCTTGTTACAGTATAGCACATAAGAGGAGTTCGTAGTGTTTAAGGAATGGGACAAATCTGCTATGAGGTCAACGTTAAAAACTTGGTTTGGTTAATTTAGTTGTGTGGGTCTTTTGCAGTGTTCTTGTAACTGGTTAGATACCTTTGTTTGTTTTGTATGTTAATTTTAAGTGTAGCTGATGTTTATCTTTTCTACTCATCAGATTTCTTTTAAGACATCTGCACTCGTGAAAGGCAATGACCTATTGAGCAATCTAGCAAAAGTGAGTAGATATACTATTCATACTAGTGAGAATGTTTTCTTACTAAATTCCCCTCCCCTTCTTGTTAGTTATGATTGTAGTAATATTTTTAACCAGTTAAAGGTTTATTTATTTTCACATAATTGATTAGGGTTCTCTATCTTATTGCAGTACTACAAGTTTTATTTGGATATTATGACATTGCCTATTATTGTAATTGGCTTCTGTATTCCTCAGGTAATTTTACTTTTATCTTTACAAGTTTGTGAAATTAGGCTGTGGTATATTGGATCACATGATTGTTCTCTATGGCCTAGGAAATTTCGACATATACATCTACATTATTTTGCAGGGAAGCCTAGTGTATTGGGTTACAAATAGCTCGTTAAGTGTCATTCAGGTGAGTAAACTATACTTACTTTTTAACTTCCCTTCTAAAGAGAGGATAAATCTGTTACTGTGCCATCTAGATTTCTTTTCGTGTCTTAATACTTGCAATATTTTTTATGCTGCAATATTTTTTTATGTTTTTAAGAGGTGGTATTTCTTTTTGTGTCTTTATACATTGTAACTAAGTATCATAAAACTAGTTTTTCCTTCTAATCTCCCTATATTTTCAGCAATTGGTTCTCAGAGATCCTGCTGTGCGTGCAAAGTTGGGGTTGCCAGACAAGGATGCTCCTACAGACACTGCAATATCTGAGAAGCCTGGTACTCCTGAAATATCACCCTTGGCTTCTCCTACAAGATGGAAGAAAATAACTTTACAGAACCTGTCCCCTAAAGAGCTGCTTAATGTGAGTGTTCATGAACTAGAACCTTGTGCAATATGTTTATACCAGTTGTCATTCTAGGTTTTCTTACAACATCCTGCCTGGGATTCTTGAGACAGCTTTCGGTCCAAGTCTTATCAGAAGGCGATAAAGAAAAAGCACTTCCTTTGCTGAAGTAATTTTCTCTGTTTGAATTGCAGTACATATTTTATCATATCAATTGTTTTTTGTGCACTAAATAAATAATTTTTATTTGGTTTTAAAACAGACTTGCCCTTGAGAAGGATCCTGAATATGCAAGAGCATTGATTGTAATGGGTCAGACTCTATTGCAGAAAAGTTTGCACGCAGAGGCTACTGAGTACTTTCAGCGTGCCATCACCAAGGTAGGAATACATGTTTACTTTATATGGTTTTTACCTTTCTGTTTTCTTATCAGCAAGTATGATTGGGTTTATATATTGGGTGTGACGTTTGCCTAAGCACTGCACTTTGTGATTATAAGGTTTCAGAATAATAGTCTGCCTTCCTCACAAAAAGTCAGGGATATGATACTTCAGTGGCATACTATGTGACTATGCTACTGTTATGACATTTTTTCATTTTGCAACCACTGTTTCTAGATTGGAATCTTTTGCTTATTCATTCATTAATCACTCTCTTAATTTCTCATCAGCTCAACAGTGCTGGCCAGCCGACAGAAGTGGAGGACATTGATCTTCTAATTCTTGCATCTCAGTGGGCCGGTGTTGCCTACATACGGCAGGTGAGGCTCAGTATGCTTTACTGATGGCATTTCTGCATACAAATGTGTCTAGAAGGAAACTTTTGAGACTCCTATGTTTCATTTATGGTTTGAATATATTTTCTTTAAGGAAATGCCGACACAGATGGTTAGCATCGCCAAATCTTTACTCATCTTCCATTCTTCTATGTTTAGGTTTTTAGACTGTTACTTATGACTCAGTCATGGTGTGCCTTGGAACTGTACTTGGTTTCAGCAGGTCAAAAGCCATAATTTTAATTTACTTTTCACCCGTGTTTGAGCAGGGAAAAAGTGTGGAAGGCATTGTACACCTTGAAAGAGTTGCACAATTGGAAGAGCCAGATGAACCAAGCAGCAAAACCCATTATTTTGAAGGGTTATTATTGCTTTCAAGGTAATTTCTCGTAGTTTTTTTTTAATGTTGCAATGAGTTGATTAGAGTAGTATTTGTGACGAAATCTTCCACATATGTATTTAAATTTTAAAGCACTTGTGTGGCTGGGCATGGCTTTTCAGTGCTTTATCCAATGTGGGTCGCAAGGCTGAAGCTTTGAAGTATCTGCGCTTGGCTGCTGCTTATAACCCTGATTACAACGAATACTTGGAGCAATATGAAAATGAAAACGAGGATGAGAGTTTTGTCGGTGATCTCGTTGGCAGTAGGCGAAGGGATTATTGATTCTGCATAATTCACTGCAAGATTTATTTATATTGGTTTGCTTTTCACTCAAATGTATATTGTCGTGCTCATTTTTGTTATAGATATTAATCATTGATTTGTATTTTCAGTGTCCAGGATCAAAATAATTGACACAAATTAGGAAAAATAATTTTTGAAGGAGTTGTCCGGGTAGAACATTGGATCCATATATAATCTTCTGTACTGAGTGGTTGCTCTTAATTAATCTTCAAAAGTGTATATAAATATAGTGGATTCTGATACAAGACAAGCAGCTTGGCGGCCGAAGTAAGCTTCAACTTTGGTTGATGACATCGAACTTCTTTGTTCTTAGGCAGCCGATGGTCATCTTAGTTGTCAATTTCCACCAACCAGAAATTGATTGAGTTGGCTCTTGTTTCTTGCTTTTTCGTCTCTCTACTCGCAGCCTATAGTCTTTTATCCAAATCGCTCGCCATAGAGGCCCACAGGCATAGCCTGTGTTTTTCTTTTGTTGGACTTGGAGCCCATGCCTATGTTGTAGAGATTATTCTTCATAATGGAAGATTAATATACCCCATGGTAGTTAATCTTACTTAAGTTCCAGACATTTGTCTTCATTCATCCCTACATATATGTAAATCCAACCTTCCAATTTTTTCAAAACCAAAATGACAAGGGCTTTAATTCTTGAGAGCACAAGAGTTGTAATTCTTAATTTTTCCAAGGAAATGACAATCTCTAAAAATTAGCCAGCTGTTCATGTTTTAATCATAATTAACAAGCATGATTTTATTTATTTATAAAAATTAATTGTAAGTAATATGTTCGCGTGACACGTTTTGAATCTTCTCCTTCCATACCAAGTCTTTGTAAAACGGTAGAAGGGACGAAATGATAATAGGAACAGAGAAAAAGAAGCTGGCTGATCCTGATCGATTGCTGCTGGAGATCATTCAGGATTTAGCATCCTTTATTTTAATATTATATTTGGATCCCCCGCAAGGCTGCAACCTCCCCACGTGCCCTCCATTTGTCCTCTTGTTTATTTGACAACCCAAAACCGAGTTATATTAATTTTCTTTCTTTTATTTGGAACCGTGTACTAATTTGAAATATAAAGATAGAAAAACACACCAAGGTGTTTCAGTCTCTTCCTTTTCTGGTCAACACTTAACAGAGTGCTTCAGAACCACAAACTCCACGTCCGAAAGTCTCTGCAGCATCTGACGCGTTAGGGGTAAAGTTCTAGGACAAGCTGCTTCTGATGTGACTCTCAATCTTAATAAACAAAAACATTTCTGCCTCTAAAACATTCTTTTCTTTCCAAGTTACAACACCACCACCACCACCGGATCAGCACGAAAAGCACAAGAAAACTCAGGAAATCTTGTAAAAGTAACGCATCAAACATTGCACACATCACAGCACAACCCAACATCCTCTCCACCAATATTGCTCTCTCTCTCTCTCTCTCTCTCTGTGTCCGGCTCACAACTTGTAGAGCACAGGTTGACTGAAAAAGCACCCACCACAACACAAGGATCCGAAGATTCCAAACCATCTTCCGAACAATGGACATCGCTCAACTCTCAAGCTCAACCAGTCCAAACTCTCATTGATTTTTGTGAGTACCCTTTTCCCATGATTTTGGCAAATTGGCAAAAGACAAAATCCTCTATTTTCACAACACCAATTTCGTCCACAAATTAATATAAAACGTCACAACATGTCCAAAATCCTGACTCGCCCACTTACCCTATAAAACACTATTTGTCCAAGATTTCGGTTTTTCTTCCTTGTTCCTACGCAAAACCCACAATCTATTTTCTCTTAATTTCATCAAAATTAAAGAAAGTAAATTTTTTGTTTTTGTTTCTGTTTTTCACTCGAAGAGACAGAGAAAATCTAGCACAAGAAGAAAGAAGAATGTCATGTCCATCATCAAACAGCATCAGGTACAATGGGAGCCACTGCACATGCGCAGTTGGGTATTTGCTAAATCAGACCACCGACACCTGCGTCCTCTTTACAGCGGATTCCACCATATCCACCGACTCCGGCATCAGCACCGACGTCCTCAGCTTCTTCCCGGAGACCATCTTCTCCTTTGACTCCATTAAGAAGTTCACGCAATCCCAAGCCGTCTTCTTGGAAGCCACGCTTGTGTTTCTGCTGTCTTGGCTTTTCTTTTGCTTCTTTCTAAGGTTTATGAAACTTGGCGACGATGGCAGGAGCATTTGGTTCAGGCTTAGATGGTGGATTAGTAGATTGGATGTTTGCTTTTCCACTAGGCATTGGCTGGTTAGTTTGTTTGTCAATTTTATTTCCTGCCCACTTTGTTGTTAGATTGTATGTGCTACTAGATTTCGTGAATTATTTCTTAGCTTATTTGCATTACTTTTCATCATCATTTATATTAGTTTCATTGAATCTTAATGCAATTATGTGAACCATCCTCAAGTGGCCACCTGTCAATAATTTATTCTAATTATGGGGTTGTTCGTTCTTGTGGGTTTGGGGCAATATATATATGCTTTCGAGAATTCTATTGAATGCTCAAAATGTCCTAGGAACCTAGTAATCATGGAATAGGAAAATTATGATTAATTCACCAGACGAAATATGTACTGAAAATGTTGCTGCTTGGAACTTAAAAGGCAGTATAAGATTTTTGGTAGGAGGTTTTGCTTCCGCTCTGTTAATCTTAACTTGCCAATTGTAGTGGTGCTATCTTTGATATACTCTCTTTCGTAATTTTTTTAGTAGATAACTGATTGTTAAGAATCTTTTCTTTGGCTACTTATTGAAGCCACTTTGCTACTACATTCATTAGATTATCCTTTTGGCAGCTTTCTTATCCATCCTGATATCAAATTATGACAATGGATTTTAACTAGCTTCGTTTGTGGCACAGGATGATCAAAAGGTAGTTAAGAAACGGAAGACGGAACTTGGTGGAACCTTCTCAATAGCAAGTTGGATTCTCTTCATTGGTTTGTTTGCTGCGTGAGTATTGAACCGTCATTTTTTCATGCTGATTTTATTAGCTGCGCTGGTCTTTTTCTGGTTTCTATTAGTCATATTAGCTTATATTTACTTGGCTTTTCAGTATTTTTACAGGTTGCTCTACCAAATCATAACAAAGAGAACTATTGAGGTACATAATGTCCGAGCAACAAATGCACCCGACTTGGCCTCCTTCAACAATGATATGGAATTTAACATAACCACTATTTCTAGTATGAGCTGTTCAAACTTACGTGATCTTGCCACTTTAGTTACTGGAAATCCTGGCTCCATTGACTTCAGAGTGGCTCCTCTGTCAAAATTTGGGAACTACTCATGTCAAAATACGAGTAGAGGACCAATGATAACTCTGAGGTGCAACAATTGTCAACCAATTCAAGACAGTTTGTACATCTCGTGGCAATTCATTGATCTTCCTAATAATCCTGCTGCTGCTGTTGGATTTCAGTTCAATCTGAGTACAAGGAGTCATGCTAATAAAAAACATGTTAGTTTTGTTAGTGGAACCCTAAAGAATGGAAGCACTTTTGATGATAGACCAGTTACATTCAGAGGGAATATGACAAACATTTTAAAATTCAGTTTATTCCCACGGATATACCATAATCTGCATGGTTTAAAGCACATCCAACCTCTGTTTCATGACTTTGTTCCTGGTTCATTTTTCCGTGAAACAAATCAGCTCCGAACATCCCTTGAAAGTTCTAACGACGGAATACTCAACACTACATTGTATGTCAACTTTCTCTCTGCCTACATTGTGGAGATAGATAACCGGAACATTATGGGTCCTGGTAAGTATATGTTGTGCCCTAAGTATATGAGATCCATCCTTCCACTTATGTTCTATGTGTATCTTAAGTAAATAAGATCAAATCTATTGCACCGGGATCACTCAACTGAGTTAGACTGAACTGACCAGAGTCCAAACCCACACAACCATTTCTACCCTAATATGATTCCAAACCACCATCTCAGTTGAAGTATTTCACTTTTCCAATTAAGTTCTATTGATATACATATATACATATATATATATATAATATTGTTGTTTACTTTAACATGTAGTGAGCTTCCTTGCGGATCTTGGTGGCCTGTATTGCATCTGTATTGGCATTTTTTTCTACTTTCTGGTGCAAGTACGATACTCAATCCTTAAAGTTTTGTTCTTTCTTCATCACTGTTTTCATGTCTCTAATTTTTGTTTTTCTCTTTTGTAGTGTGAGTTTAGGATTAAAAAACTCCGCAATGAAGATAGTGTATTGCGCAAGATCCGAAATCGACGAAAAGCTCAAGAACACTGGGATAAAGTAATTTCTTTCGTATTTTTCATTTCATTTTACTTCATATTGGTCTGACTTCATACAATAAAACTCACTGGTACATTTGCTTTGAACTAGTTGAGGAAATATGTGATGTACACATGGGGCTGCAAGGCATTGAATGAGAGCGAAAAAAAGGGATCTGGTTGCATTGGTTTCAATATACAATCAGTTCATCGAAATGGATCATCACACAAGCAAAGGCAACAAGAAAAGGATACTATTAGTTTCAATAGGAAGCTCAGCTTACCTAACAAGAAGGTAATATTTCATGCTTCTGTCTCTGTTAGATTCCTGAAAACCTGTTTGAAGATTCTGATTCATAATGTTTCAGTACTTGGTTCTCCAAAAATTTAACTTGTAATTTTCAATTTATGTTAATCATGCAGACTGCAGTTCAAGAGTGCTCCCACACTGTTGGGGGGGTGAGATCATTTACACCTGGAACTTCACTGAACCCTGTAGAAAGTTCATCACATTCGGCAGTTGAACCTGTGAGTCGTTCTTCTTGTTTCTTTCTCAAAAAACATGGGGATAACAGGTCTAGTTTGTCTTTAATGACAACCCTTCCACCTTGTTATTGGTTTCCCTAACCACTTACACTGAATTTGGGCCAATAAATCAGCTAATTTTAATCGTTGATTGTCACAGATTATCTGCCAGTCAAATCACTATTTGAGAATTCCAACTCATCCATACATTTTTTTTCTTCGTAGTTTTAAAAATTGTGTAGGCTATTTATATTACATGGCTTCACACCAAAATTAGTGTCAATCACGATTTGATTGTCCTTTCAAGAATAAGTGATGAAATAACTCTGGATTATGTGACTTGTCTAATCCATCTGGATACGACATATGCTTCTGTCTTTTTTGATTGATAAATATTTAAACAGGACATGTTAACTTTTGTATCTCTTTCATCCTTATGTCCTCCAGCCTCTGCAAATTGAATTGCTTGGCTCTACAAAGGATGGAAAACACAAATGTGTTTGTTTGTGCAAAGAAGATTCCTCCCTGCCTAAAGCTTTAACTCTGACAAATGACGATATTATTCCTCCACCAGCTTCACTAGGTAAGAACTAAACTCATAAAGTTTAGGGCTGCCATATTCTTTTCTTTCCATCAAGTTCCCTTTTTTTTCTTCTTATTTCTCAAGTGAAATAGAAGTGGGTGAATGTGCTTTTGCTTTCTACGTTTTTGTATCTTCCGTGAAATGATTGAAATGTGAATGTCTTTGTAGTAAATTTGTAGATCTAATTAACGTGATTATGGATTAAGCTACAACCTTATGTACATTATATAATCGGTGGATGGTTTATAGTTTATTAAGCATTAACTGATTAAATGGTGAAATCAGAAGGGAAGGGCTTATGAGTACAAGTTCAGGTGTTATATAATCGGTCAGGTGTTATGAGCACAAGTTCTGCAAGTTGTGTTGTTATGAAGATCTCATTTTTCTTCTCTCTCAAAATGATACTAATTAATTGAAGCCTGATTTGATTCAACTTAGGCCAGCACAAAACTTTTCGTGGATTTATGTTTACTAGATAGATGTTTGGATACTGTGTAGTAGTCTTCATGCATGAAAGACAGCATGGTGGTATATTCCCTCGTCAAGTCTTCTGTTGACAGTTTCGGCATTACAGGAGACTTGATATGATGACAAGCAGTCACCGAATTTCAATTTAAAACCATGATAGCTGGTATTATATGTTTTCTTAACTTATGTTCACTGGGACTTGCATGAAACTATATCGACTAGAAACAGATATGAAGTGGACTTAATGATATCCTTGTGTAGTTGTTCAGAATCTTGGGTTGGTGATTTTGTTTATGGATTTCGCCACTTCTTTTTCAGCTTTTCTTATATTACTGTCCTACTTCACTGCAGAATTGAAGGATGCTTCTGAAATGGATATGTCTGATGTTCAGAAGAATCTTAGAAGCTTGTACGAGTACAATGTTATGCTTAGGGAAAAGTTAATAGCTACTCAGTCTTTGTTCCATTCTTTACCTACAAATTCCGCATCCTCAGTAGCAGAAGGCGAAACGTAGTATTGAATAGCATATGAACCACACCTTACCGCATATCCATTTATGTAAATTTATTACTTTTATTTGTTATCCTGGTAAAATAGTTCAAGGGTATTGTTGGGTAGTTCACAGTTTTGAAACTTGCTTGTCGTCTTAATTTTGCAGGCATGTTAATGCAATGTGATAAGCTTTCAATCATGCATTATTTGTCTTCTCTACACACAGAAATTATTCTGACCTACTGTAGGAATGTTTTTACCAACTTTGTGCTGAAAAAAGGTGGAAATTTGAGGAAACATCAAAACTTATTTGGCTTTCTGTGGGTCAAGTGAGAACAAGAAAATGAATACATAATATATATATATATATATATATAAAAGAAGAGAAAAAAGAGAAAGAAAACGTTCAAAATTATTCATAATACAAATTATTATGTAACATTACTTATAATTTGAAGAAAAGAAAAACAATAATCTGCGAGTGAGATTATTGCTTGCACCACCCATTACAACAATAACTATCAAACCAAAAAGATACTTCTTGACTACATCGCATGTTAAGCTGCATACAAAGAAATAAAATTATCCAGTTAGGCTGACACTCCCATCTCCCTGAATATTTCCGCAACGTGAACCATGGCGTTGTCCTACATGGAATTAGCTGTGCAAGTATCTGCGACCTATATATGATTTGCCCATGCATACGAGGGAGCAGCCAACAACATATACTACCAAGAGGTTCCCTCCTTTTACAACTGCGTCTCCCGACATGTCATCAGAACAGTCTACACGCCCATAAGCCATTCATTTGACTGAAGACCCCAGATGATCCGGTTGATGTGTACCCAAGTACAAGAGAAGTGAAACGGCACACAAATATGCGTTTCTAAAAGCAACCCTTACTCCGTGTCAACATGCTTTCTCTCGCTACATTTTGAAAGAACATCATTCCTCCCTGAGCGCATTCCCAAGGCATGAGCAAACATCCTCTTTGCTGCTCCCAAATGTTCCCTTTTGAAGTATTCCTCGTCGACACCATGTCCACTTCTTCCATTCTGAGATATACTGTTGCCACCACCCAAAATCTTGTCGCCTTGTTTTTTGGGAGTCTTCCTTTCACTTAGAGTTAAAGGTGGTGCATTGTTACTACGGCTGTTCTTTTTCACTTCACCGCACGAGTTCATATTTCCTTCCTTCTTAAAAGCTTCCACGGTCAAACTGGGCTCATCTTCAACCTTGTCTTGCACATTCAATTCACTAGTGTGCCCTCCCAAAACTTTGCAATCTTCATGAAGGGAATCTTGACTGGATGGATTGATTCTTTGGCCTAGGGCATGTGCTATCATCCGGCGGGCAACAACAGGGACACTACGTGGCTTCTGCTTGACAGATTCCTTTACCTCTCCCAAGTCCCTTGAAAATATTCGCTCACGAGCAGCCAAATAAGCAGCTTCTCTCTCCTCAAGTGAGTGTTGAAACAAAGGAGGTTTTTGCCTTACCACTAAAATTATAAGGAGGTTTGTCTCAACACATCATCATTAACAGGGATAGGAAATAAGAACAGAAATACATCACGCAAGTGATAAATGGAGGGGAAATCATTACCTGGGGGAGCTTCTGTCCTCTTTAATAATAGGTGTGAAGTAGTTGGAGAATCAGGCTCATCATACTGCCACAAGATATCACCAACAAGGATGGAAGGTCTGCAACCCAAACACACTGATTAACAAAAGAAAAAAACAGGGGACGCTGGACCAAATTAACTCTATTAACCTAGCTAAAACACTATCATAAGCCCAATCACCATTATTCTATTGGCTTTGAAATTCAGAAGGAAAAATATAATTACCATTGCTTAGTTCAGTCTGAAGCAATCTGATACCAAATATACATGCATTGTATTCTAGTGAGACAAGTTTCTCTTAGATGCCAAATATCTCAGACTATCATTAATTATTTAAGTGCAGCTCTTGTTCCCTACCTAGTCATTGAAAAAGCTTCTAGATTAGTAGTGCTTCAAGGTCTTTAAAATCACTTCCAACTGTCCCCACTAATGCCACTCTACCTTCTAAAAGAGATGCATTCAATTTTCACCTTTCTTGCCATACCATTCACCAACTAGACAATCTTCTCCTATCTACACCCATTCATGGAAATGTTTATGAGTCTGACAAGTACGGATTGCTAGACACAAGATATATGTCTAATTACAACCAATGTATGTCCATCCCAAAATGTGAATACATGGAAACATGCTAGATTTCCATCAAAGCCTCTTAATTATAATTTGAGCATAACATCATAAATCATGATATATAAGAAAATAAGTGCAACAAGTTAACAACAACAAAAAAAAAGGATGTCAAGAAATTTCTGGGTTATGGTTTGTTAGTCTTCACATACATTGATGTCTCCGGGCATCGCTCCAAAATTAAGTGCCGGTCATCTCCTTCACCAACGGATTCATGGGAAAAGCTAGAAAAAAGCAATATATTATTATCAACAGAAGTCAAGTACATGTGAGCTGCAACATTCTTCCACAAAAAGAAAAAAAAAGGGAAAGATATGACAAAAAACATTCAACAAATCAACAATTAGATGATGGAAAAAAGGAGAATACCCAAAAATGTCTGCAAGACGATGCAAGAGAAGACGGTTGTATGAGTTCATGGGTTCCAACTCCAAGACCCCACTGGAACTGCACCCAAATTTTACTTTTTTTTATTAGTACTCTCAGCACAGATAATGATCAGGAAACAGCTTCATAGGGTTTCAAACAAATCTTATCTCTATTGCATTATCATGAAATATATTACACTAGTCAGGTAAAAGACACAAGCAAGACAAAAGTTCACTTATAGAACATGTATGATTATACCATGCCCGGTTGAACATATTTGGGAGATAAGATATAAATGCACTGCAAGGTTGATAACAGTTATTTCCAATCACTGTAAATTGATCAATGAGATGTCCCTAAAATAAAACTCTTATAGTACAGAGCTATATTCATTCACAAGTGATGCAACTGATCCCAGATGTCTGTGGGGGTGTGGACCCCCAATTTTGGGTATCAGCCCCAAGTGGGTATCAAAATTGAGGTCAGTTAGTCGCATCACTCGTGACCATAGTAACACTCCTGCTTCATATAGTTTTAAGGATTGCACAACCTTCTGTCCAAACTAATCTCATAAGAAAGGACAATGCTACTAATATTTAGCAGTTGTCTTACATGCCTGGTATCACTCTGAAGGAAGTCCACCAAGGCCTCTTCCACTGAGAGAATAAGATGCTTGCAAGAAAGATTGTCTTTAACAAGAGAAGCCAATTCCTCAACCTGCATTTTGGTTACAAGATAAGCTTATAAGTGATAGAAGTACCATTAGCTGAACCAAAGAAGGTTTCTTTACATATAAACTAGCGAAGGAAATTAAATTTACACGAACTGATAGTAGGATTTGAAGCTTCAGTCGTTACAATTATGGATGGACAAATAAATAAGGGAATATAACTTTGAAGCACTAAACTTCCAAAATTTCTAACTTTCAGTTCATAGAGCAAAAAACTGAACAGAAATTTTGAAATCAGCACAACCCAGAACACCTAATTGGAGCATGACTTGAAAAACTACAAATTTTCTAAATTCAAAGTAAAAGCGAAAATCAATGGCCAACAAACACAATAAAGCTAACAAATTGCGAGAGTAAGAGAGAAGAAAACATACCATAGCGAACTGGGTCATACTCATTTTGTTGAAAAACTGAATGAAATCTCAAGAATTTCTCAGAGTCAGAGAGAGAGAGCGAGAGTCGGACGGATATCTCTCTTTCAGATTTGCTTCAACGGTGGTGCGTGTTTGGTCGTTTTTCTCTTGTCAATCTTTCGTCGTATCGTATTTGTGTCTGTCGGAGGAGGACATTGGACAAAGGCATAGTCTTACCCATCTCAAGGTCGGCGAGCATGACCAACCAACGGTAGTCTGCCACCTCGCTCTTTAATTAGCACTGCCTCAATTGCGCCGCCCCATCTTTTATTATTATTATTATTATTTTTTATTTTTATTTTTATTTTTAAAAGCAATTAAAAATTAAGAAAGTTGAATATTGAAGCAAAACATTCAAGGATGTTTAGCTACCTCTTGTAGAGTTTCATTTCATACGTTAATTGCAATGTTAACAGTTTACATTTTGGTATGATTAAGCTCTAATTTTCCATTTAATTATGGATAAATGACGGCAACTTTTTCTTTCTTTCCCATTTTACATATTTAATTGGTAACCACAATCACAAGGAAGAACTTTAAATATGTTTAGGTTAAAAGACAAGCATTGTAACAAAACAACCACAAGCGTTGTTTGTCAGTGTTCTGTTTGCCAGCATATTCCAGACCATATTTCACTTCTCCTCCAACAAACCTTCTTTTATGCAACGGCTATTTATTTATTTATATATGTAACAAACAAAACACAACAATTAGTAAGTTGGATTATTATTAGTCTGTTTCAACGGCTTTTAATTAAATAGCAGTCCCAAACGAGCTCTTAATGCAAACTACGGCAAAGGAAACAAGAAAAGTCAGAAACAAGTAGGATACAGAGAAATAAAATGGTGAACAAGCTTAGGAATCCTAGGCATACTTTTTCTTCACTTCACCTGTATAAAATTAGGAGGGAAAATTCATCCGAGTATTTATAGAGTAAACTCCATTTGATCTCAAAAACATCAAGCAATATTTCAACGTTAAGCAATGCTCTGTGAAAGTTGTCATAAATAGGGTTAAAGGGAAATTTGATTGAGACATTTGGTTAAAGCATAAGGGAAATTTGATTATTTAAGATGATCCAGAGGCTCAATGAAGCTCAACATCCCTCCATTCCATGTACCGAATGGTTACTAACTGTATTATTTCTGAAAGCAAACAAATCGATCACAAATGAAAATTACAGACGAAGGCCTCTTAACAATTCCAAAAGCAATAGGAAGGAAAATGCGAGAGCACGAAGTTTGCTACATTTCCACAAATGGAGAGAGTTCTATAAATTATATCGCAAAGAATAATAAAGCCTTTTGCAAATTTTTATATGAACTGTTTTATCCCCAATTGGAGATTCGTTAGTAGTACTGAAATAATACAATATACAGTTTTGTTTGTAATCATAGTGCACAACCGCGAAGAAAAGAAGAATTACATAAAAAAAACATTTTCTAATTATCACCATCCAAGTCGAAGACCACACTTTTACCATAATCCGCAAAGCTCAGGAGCACATTGCCTTCTCCAGTAGTTCCTGCAACTCCCCAGTTTTATATGCCTCTGTAAAGAAAATAGTTTCCTCAAAGATTTCATATATATTGGAATATTTGCCAACTCTGGTCAATAACTGAACATATTCAGACGCCGAAAAATGTAGTGCGGAGAGGACTCGGTATTTAATAAACAGAAAAAAGAGTATGATAGAGCAAGTAAAGGCAAATTGGGAAGAGAACACATGACTTACAAAAAAGAAGAGCCATACAAAGAAAACTATTTCCCACACCATAATAACTAAAGCCTTATGCTATCATCTCCATCACCATTCTGTCATAAACTACAGACCACATCATGTTCTTATAAGACTAGTGTATTCACACGGCACGGTCACATGCAATGTCACCAATTTTTCATACTACACTACCATTCTCCATTAATAATCCTCAATAAAACATAAAGATCAGATCTAAACATCATTTTTACTCTGTGTTTATCCTCTATTTCATTGTTTTTAAATTGGTTGACTCCATGACAGAAGATGAAGATGTAGAGGTGAACTGAGTTCTCAGTTAAAATGCTCGAATGCATAGCTGTGGCAGACTTTGTTAGCAGCTCGCTTTTTATGGGAATGAGATGATGTGAAACAATGAATATAATACAATAACTAAAATTAACTTACCGACAGTGATGTCACAGCCACCGAAAAATTCTCCTTCAACATAAAGTTGAGGAAATGTTGGCCAACTGGAATACTCCTTCAATCCCTGGCGCAATAGTTCATTTTCTAGTATGTTTATTGTTTCAAAGGGTACATTCAAGGACTTCAATATTTGTACGACAGTGTTTGAAAATCCACATTGTGGAAAATCCCTTGTTCCCTTCATAAAAAGAACCACTTTGTGTGAGGTAACAACTTTGTCCAGCGTATTCTTCAGCTCCGGAGTTAATGCTGCAGAGACAGACACACACAGGGGGGCGGTGGGGAAGGAGGTATAGGCGAGAGAGAGAGAGAGAGAGTTAGTACCTTGTGAAACTTAATAAGGTGGAGACTTTAAAAGCAATTTCACTACTATAATACAATCCCGTAAGTTTAAAATAAGGGGGGCATAAAGGTGCTCTCCTCTACCAGGTGAGCACCAATTTCTGATGAAGACCTCATTTGGTACACACTGTAGAGTAGAGACAATTGTGAACGCATATAGGAGGCAACATAACAAATCACTTGACATAAGTATACCTTATTTAGATAATAGTGAACAATGGATTGGGAATTATTCGACAACCTAATGTTTACAGTTAACAGAAGTATTTACGAAACCATAGCACCAACCAAGATCCTCATGATAATTGGGAATAATTCTTAAGTGGCTATTGCACCATCCAACATCTTCTTGTTATTTCAAAAATGCCTCCAAGTTGGTTAGATGCGCCATTATCTGTTTTAAGTTTTTGCTTCCACATTTGAATTTTCGTTTCCAGTAATCATCTTACTTCCCTCCTATCAATAAATCAAAATATTGCTAGAAATGTTGCATCTTTTCATGTGAATACTGCTTTATAACAGCAGCAACACAATGGTTGACCTAAACCAGGATTGCATTCTAGTAATCATCGTCCAACAAGGGAGCTTCCTAATTTTCGTTATATCCATTCAACCTCATCAAATTTATCCAAAATAAAAATAACCCGCATACGAAAACCTAGAAAATCTGCCCAGATTCGTTCGACAACAATTATCAGCGCATACCCATCAAACTGTAATACTTCTCCTCCCACATTGCAACCAACAAGATCATATCAAACTGCAGAATAAGAGCAACAAACAACAGAATAATATTGGGAGAAGGGTGAGTGATGTACCAGCAGAACAACGAAAAGAGACAGTCCTCTTATAAGAGAGCTGAGGTCCAAAAGACGAGTGATTTGAAAGAGAGAAGCTGGGAAGAGGACGGAGAGGCCTAGAGAAATAGTGAAGGTGGAGTGAAGTGGGTGTATTTATGGGTGCTTTGTTCACAGCGAAAGAGGCAGACGGTGGTGTTATGGTTATTGAGTTGAAGGCCCCAACAGACCACATCTTTGGAGAATTGCTTTCTTCAACACTCACACTTTCTCCCTGCTCTGTGTCTCGCTCTGCTCTCTAATTTTTTTTCCAAGAAGAGGCAGCCACAAATATATAAGAAGGCTGTTCTCCAATCACTGAGGACGAATTCGAGCTCGGTGATGAAGACGTTTAGCCGGTGCTCAGATGAGTTTTATGGTTGCGATTAATTAATTTTTAGGATAAGAAATATTAAATAGAAAAGGCTAAATTGTTGCTAGTTAATAAAATATGGAACGGGAAAAAAGCCAATAAAATGTTTTATTAGGTAAAATTTGTGAAAAATACAAATGAAAAATTAGACCATTATAATATTATAATATAATTTATTTATAATATATATTATTTTTATCTAATAATATATGAAAAATACGTGAATTGTGTCTGTATTATCGAAAATTTTATAAAAAATACGTGTATTAAATGTGAAGAATACATATATACATGTATTAAAAGTGAATCTTTTGATTTTCAAAAACGTGTATTTTACCCCATCAAAATGCAAAAATTTATTGGTGAACCCTAAAATGCGAGAATTCATAACTGAAACCTCAAAATTCATTACATGGTTGTGTGATTTGTTGGGCAGTATCCAATTTTCCACTTGTCTTTTATTCGAGAAAAAGTATGACAAGGTCCATAGCGCATATCGATCTATAATTTTTTAATTCTTGGGTGGCTGACATTAGTGAATCCTTCTAATTTTTTTCCCTCTCAGATTCAATCGAAGAACAAGCGGCATTTCAGATCAACAACCCTCTCCACGGTTTTCTATTGAGATCAATCGGAGGAAAAATTGTTATTGAAGAACTTTGTGAACACAGGAACATACAACTTTGGACGTATGAAGGCGATTTTCTTTCTGGAAAGTTGCTCGGAAACTTAGCCAATTCGCTTCTCATTTTGAAATAAAATTCTTGATTCCCAGCAAGAAAGCAACTGGTAAAACAATTGATATACATCAAAATTGAATTACAAGAAGTGATGAAGAAGACTATTCTTGTGCAAGCTTGGTTTGATTTGTTGAAATGCCAATCCCCAGCAAAGAAAGATCTTGTCGAAGCAAATCTGCATTTTTGAAATGTAGACCAATGATACCAATTTCCTTTGCAGCTTCTACATTTCTCATGCTGTGATGCAACCATGAACCAAGATAATAATTAATTAGTATGTGAAGTTAACTCATTCATTGTCAACAAACTAGATCGATCATAATACCAAAGTTCTAAGAATAAATTAAAGTATAAAAAAGAACCTGAAACGGCAGATGCAATCATGCAACATGAATTGGAACCATGAATATAAGGTGTTTATATCTCCGAGTTTTAAAACCTTCAAAACTCGCATAACCCAAAATCTTGAATTCAACTTTTATATTGGTAGGTTGCAATATTGAATCTTGGCCACACACACTAAGCCCAACTGGGTGCTTTAGATAAACTTAAATGACCAACTAATTGAATTTCTGCAAGAACATTAATGCAATGAAAACTGTGTCATAAATGGCAATCCTATATTCAGATTACACAAGGAAGCAAACCTGTCGTCGATGAAGATACAGCTTGCTGGATCAACTTTTAGAAGTCTTTCAACTTCCAAATAGAATTCAGGATCAGGCTTCCTCTTCCCTGAAGAAAAAAAAAGTGCACAGGCAGAGCATTGAGACATTCATGTGGATGTGCTTGTGCAGCTACAGATGGAAGAGAATCCTAAAAGTAAAATGCAAACACTTAACGTACCACTTATACATGAACAGAACGTCCAAGACAAATATTTTGAGATTTTTAATTTGTCCTCAATCATCTCGTACCTAACAAAACAAAATTTCCTGAATAAAATGATAAACTGCTTCACTTAATAAGAAAACTTTGATATAGAAATTTTCATCTAACCAGATGGGATAGTTTGTGAAGGCATGCATCTCATAGTTGTTATCTTTCAATGAATGAAGCAATTCTTCTATGCCTTCAACATAGGAATATCCCTTTCTCATGCAATCTTTTAGGCCTGCAAAGATAAATGAAGTACTTTCCTGTAAGATTCGGAAGGAAGAACATATTATACGAGAACACATTTTACCACTCTGATATCATGTCAAAGTACAGACTTAAGTGCTTCAATCTACCCAGTTCAATAAGACTAACAACACAATATTTCGGAAGTCGCTGAAAAGTAATTTTGACGAGGGCTTCAGAGATAATAAAAGAAACAAAAGAAATTAACAATTCCACAATGCAGTGCCAAATATTAGAGGATTGATTAGTATATGTCATAATTTTGGAATCAATATGAGGTATCTACATTATGTTGCACAGAAGTTTCACACAAGCAAATTCCGCACTGCATGTACCATTGTTCTTTTCACTATCACTATCAACCTTCATAAAGCAAGAAAAAGAATCATTTACACAAACGATAACAGCAGAAAAATGAAGCAACATGAAGAAAAGTCATTTTCTAGTGACATGAAGTACATTCTTACTGGCTCAGACTTCTAAGGACTGAGTTAAAGTCTTATGAACGAGGTAGTGTTTGAAATACATGACAGCAGAGATGACTGGAAAAATGTACCCCAAAAGCTTACATCTTCATTTTTTTTTTAAAGTAAGAAATTCCAACTAACCTTCCAAATCTAGAGGCCTTCCATCAGTAAAGAACTTTCTCGCTAGCTCCATCTGGTGGCAAAATGATTTGTCATACAGCAATTTGACATGCTATAGCATGGAATAAAAATTCATATTTTGAACGTATAATTTTGTTTGCTTTCGTTAAATAGAACAAAATTATGCATTTTCACTTGAGAGTTCAAAAAGCAATATCTTTCAAAGATCGTCAGAAGCCAAATTACAAAATGAATATTACATTTTTCTGTTCAAAGTTGATAACTGAAAAGTTCAAAACAGGCAGTGGTACCATATATTCATTTTCACTTGCAGATGGGGATGGGACCCGTCACCCATAGGTAAGACTTAATAGTCTTAGTAAACATAATTCCAAGTATACCTCATCAATAATCCCCTTTTCAAACTCAATCCACGCAGTTGGGTGCTTGCATTGTATAAGTTCTTCGAAAGACATTCTGGACATGAAATATCACTGTGATTAGCTGGGACTTACAAATAAAACAGAAAAAGAAGTCGAGCAAGTTGAATATATATATATATATATATATATATTTTCCCAATTTCCTTTAAACAGATTCAATTTTCTGATATTTCCAATAAAATGGTTCTGCAGCAGCTAGCCAATGAATGAACCATAAGCCATATTGAAAGTCCAAAACCAGTAAGAGTATATCAATTTCTCTTCTTTTATTGTCTTATATCTAATCAACAAGAAGCAGAGGCAACCCAATTGAAGGAAATGACAAAAGAAAAGAAATTGATTTTGGGTACCTGAAGAAGGCAGGGACGTCATGGTAAAAAGGGTCGCGAACAACGGTGTCCATGATGTCGAAGAGGAGTATGGGAAGCTTTTGAGTGGTCGTATTGGTATGAAAAGAGACATTGTGGGGAGATAGAGCCATTCTTGTTGATGTTGATGTTGGTGTTGGTGTTGCTGTGGAACGAAATTGAAGTGAGCAGCCGTGCCTTAGACTTACTGGGAAAGGGATCGCGGGTAGTTTCAAGAACAGAGCCATGAACAATCTGTCTCTCCCTCACCATCTCTCAATCCCTGACTTGTTTCATTGAGATTCCATTTTTATTTTTTGTTTAATGTTTTACAATATTAAAATAATAATAATAAATAAAAAGCCATCCTCCTCCGTCGATTACTGTTACGATGAGTCACACTTATGCATGCGAGAGATGCACATTTTCTTTTCTTTTATTTGTTTTGGGAAATTGGGTAAAATACTATCCACGCACGCACGGCCAAACTTATAGACCAAATACTATCCACCCAAAAAAATTTGGTAAAATATTATCATTAATAAAAATAAAAATAATGGGTTTGTATTGTTGTAGGCCTTTTTGAAAAATAAAAATAAAAATAAGTTGCAATTACAAGCCCAATTACTGAAAACATATTTAAACATTTTGGGCCGACTTCAGTACAAAAACATGTTTAATCAGCCCGGATTGTCCGAAGCCCAACCTTAATTAGAGCACCCAAGACCAGATAAAACTTGGGCTGGCCCAAAAACATGAATCTACAAATTCTACTCGGGTCAGGTTTGATTCCACTGGATTCATTCATAAATCGGTTGTAGTAAAAATGTATGATAAATATTTTTTATGCAAAAAAATTGGGTAATCTGGGCGGGTATGGAGAATAGTCCCCCGATGGGAATGGGGATGGGAATTCTCAGAAACCTATTAAATGGGAATTGGTTCGGGGACTGGGGCCGGGATGGAGAGCGGAGACGAGGATGGTATTGTCATACCCGACCCCTACCCGACCCATTACCATCCCTAACTCCCCCACAACTGCAACTGAACTCTCCCCATCCATTATCTTCCTCCCTCCCAAGCCAAGCCCATTAAAACCCGCCACCAATTGACTAATGATATATCTCCCTTCCTCCAATACAACAAAATCATGGACAACTTCCACTCAACACCGAGTCAATTAACTCGCCACCCCGACAACAACTAATAACGCTCCCATAACCCACACTCCCACCCAAACTATACCTACCCTCTCTGTGATGACGAGGATAGAAAGAAGGTTTTTTTTGTTTTAAAAATAGGGTTAATGACCTAAATGGTCTTCCAACTATTTCTCAAGTATCAATTTGGTCCACCAACTAAAATTTTCAATTTAAACGTCCTTAAACTTTTTATTTTATACCAAGATGGTTCATCCGTGACAGATTCCGTCACTTCCGATCACGCAATGGCCACGTGACTAAGTTTTGAAAGGTATATGCAACTTTTTGAGAAGCTTTGTCGAAGGGTATGGCTGAAATGGTCCCTCAACTATTGCTCTAGTATCATTTTGGTCCGCCAACTAAAATTTTCAATTGAACCGTCCTTCCACTTTTTTTTTGGTATCAAGATGGTCATATCGTCAAAGTTAGTCAATTTTATTGTTATTTATTTTTGTATTTATCTTATTTTAAATTTTTTAATTATTTTAAACAATAGAGAAAAAAATATTACTTTTTAAGTCCATGTCATAAAAAAGAAGTCATGTTGGCGGTGAAATTCAATTTTTTCAACTTTAAAATTAGGTATAAGTTCCTATAATAGTTTCCTTTAATTTTTAATTATTGTTTACTCTTTTTTTAAAAAAAATTATTTTTTTATATTTATATTTATGTGATTTTAATTAATTTAAACAATAGATAATTTTTTATGATTAATTGTTAGGTCAGTCTCACGGAAAAAAAAAGAAAAAAAAGCCATGTGGCTAGTGAGATTCAATTTTTTAAAATTTCCTAAGTTTTATAATAGTTTCCTTTAATTTTAAATTATATATTACTATTTTAATTCATAGAGACATTTTTACTCCTCAATTTAACAATAAAATTGACAGACTTTAATAGTAGGACCATCTTGATACAAAAAAAAAGAGTTGAAGGACGGTTCAAATGAAAATTTAAGTTAGTGGACCAAAATGATACTGGAGCAATAGTTGAGGGACCATTAGGATCAATAACCCTTTTATAGGAGGATATTCACCCAAAAATACGGTTTTATCTCTCGATTTCACGGAATAATACACAGACTTTGACGGATGGACCATCTTGATACAAAATAAAAAGTTTATGGACGTTTGAATTGAAAATTTTAGTTAGTGGACCAAAATAATACTGGAGCAATAATTGGAAGACCATTTAGGTCGTTAACCCTTAAAAATAATATTTAGATAGTGGAAATTAAAAATAATGAAAAAATATAATTTTCCCATGCATTTAATATAAATAATAATAAAATTGACGACATAACAATTTGTTCTAGCGAAAGTGAAGTTGGAGGACCACGAGAATGAGTTTGGAAATTAAAAGACCAAAATAGGAATCGGGTCAAAATGAAGGACCATTAGACCTAAAAAACCTTACTCTATTTTTGAAGAAAAACCATTCTAAATTCTAATGTATAAATACGAGATAGAGTAGAGACTAAAGGACCAAATTTGGCCTGAGTGGTTGTTTGACACTCACTCTTGCAGCTGATGTAAACCTTCCTATTCGTCTTGAATGAATTCCTTCATGGCAGAACCAGCCCTGGTTTTTCGTTCTCCATATTTAGTCTCTGTGACTCTCATTATCCTCTTGTTTGTAGCCCTCTTGTTGTCTCCTTTAAACCGACAACACCATCAGTCTCTCAATTTGTCTTCTTCGCCCACCTCCCCATCATCATCTTTTTACCACCAACAACAAATTACCACCGACAACCACACAGCCTTGCATTTTGCACCTGCACCTGCACCTTCCCCATCCCAAGCACTGCTGGAGTTTCAGCGCCATCAGTCTCCTCCGTCAACTTCCTCTGCGCCTAAACTCATTCATACCACCATCAAAGTACGCAACCTTTGACAACACTAGTTAATTCATTTAAGTTTCATTTTTCTCTGTTTGTTTGTTTTTGTTTTGTTTTCAAAAAAGAAAGAAAGAGAAGTCATTTTGGCAATAATACCAAAACTTACTTTAAATATATATATGTGTGTGTATGTCCAGAAGAACCAGAGCAAAACAGAGAGGATTGAACAAGAGTTGAGCGTAGCAAGAGCGATTATCCGCAAAGCTATTGTTACGAAGAATTGCACGTCTACCAGCAACGAGATTTACATCCCCACAGGAAGTGCATACAGAAATCCCTATGCCTTTCATCAGTTAAGTCTTCTTCTTTTTTCTGTTCTAAATTAAGTGTAGCTGGTGGTGTTTGAATCCTATCCTTTGTTTGCTTGCCACAACCAGTGGATTTTTGTTTGCAGTCGGTTTTGGAAATGTTATTATAATATATTTTCTGTGCTGGTGAGTGCACGCTTCCTTTTCTTGGTTGTCCCTCGCAAGCAAGTCCACTTCCAAGTTTCTCTTTCCAGAGCGGTCCACATTTGTTGTAACAACTGGCATTATGCTTATATTTATACGACGTTGTCTTGTCTTGTGGATGCTGCTGTTGCTCTTTTGGATTAGACTCGAGGAGTGTAATTTGTTATGCTGTTTTGGGTTAATAATAATAGGAGTCACGTAGAGATGGTGAAAAGGTTCAAGATATGGGCCTACAGGGAAGGAGAGGTACCCATGGTCCACAATGGGCCCACCACATACATCTACTCCATCGAAGGCCAGTTTATTTTCGAGATGGAAACTGGGCCAAGCCCATTCATGGCCCAACATCCTGATGAGGCCCATGCATTTTTCCTGCCACTCAGCGTGTCCAAGATCACCGACTTCCTCTACAGACCTCAACACCAAACATTTTTCCATCGACTCGACCGTGTCTTCACCGACTACATTTATGTCATCTCTGATAAATACCCTTACTGGAATAGGAGCGCTGGAGCCGACCATTTTTTTGTCTCATGCCATGATTGGGTAAAGCTTATATTATATTTGTCAAAATTGTTCTTTTCTTTTCTGACAATCGTCATGCTGCCCTAAACTATTCTAATGTAATCCTCCCTCGGGTATAAGGGGAGCAATAATGTTTTTATTAATTTATTTGATTGATTGACTTTTTTCAGGCGCCAATTATCTCACGTGATGATCCCAGGCCCTACAAGAATCTGATGAAGGTGTTATGCAATGCAAACACCTCTGAAGGATTCAAGCCTACCAGAGACGTCTCACTGCCAGAATATAACCTCAAAGCCTACGGACTTGGACCGCCCCGTTTTGGCGAACGCCCTTCTCGGCGTCCAATCCTTGCCTTCTTTGCTGGTGCAGCCCATGGAGACATCAGGAGCATTTTGTTTGAGCATTGGAAGGAAAAAGATGATGAAGTTCGAGTTTATGAAAAACTTCCTGAGAAAATGAACTACCACAAACTAATGGGGCAAACCAAGTTCTGCTTGTGCCCAAGTGGTTCTGAAGTGGCAAGTCCTAGGGTTGTGGAGGCAATGTATGCAGGGTGTGTTCCGGTCCTCATTTCCGATTACTATGCCGTACCCTTTGATGATGTTCTTGATTGGACTAAGTTTTCGATACAAATTCCACCCAAGAGAATACCAGAAATCAAGTCAATACTGAAGGCTGTTCCATTTTCGAAGTACTTGAAATTGCAGAAGAGGGTGATGCAAGTGAGAAGGCATTTTGAGCTCAACCGACCAGCTAAGCCCTACGATGTATTTCACATGGTGCTTCACTCAGTGTGGCTTAGAAGGCTCAACATTCGGTTGCCAGATCGATTTTAAGGATCATCAGGAATGTTGTGAAGGTTTTAATAATCATTGTTTTAGCATGAGATTAAACTCACAATGATGCGTCAAGCAAACACTAGTCATTCAGATAGTGATATTTAATTATAATGGATGAAAAATAAAGAAGCGTGATATTACAGTAAGTGATTCTCCACACGTCTTTCCCTCCCCTTCCTTCCTAGTGTTACTTTGCATGATATAAGTCTTGTTGATGTTGATCCTTGTCCCATTTTCTTAACCAAAAAGAAGGAAAAAGAAACTTAAATAAATATATAATTGGCTTTTAGTCAATCGAATACAAAACAGAGAAGCCAAGATAGGCGGCCGGCTCTTTTGTTTAATCCAACATGTTTACCCTTTTAAGTGTTGGATATGCCATTTACATATTTACTTTAATCCAACGGGTAATCTGTGTGCTCTGTAATCATCCAGGCCTAAATTTTGAAGGCATATGAAACTTCCCTTTCCAGCATGGAAGATTTGGAAGAATAAATTTCAAATTCCCAATTTGTTTGTGGTTGCTTTTTGAGCATAATGCAGTGCAGCATATGTTACAAACATTTGGTGGTAATATGTTAATTAGGAAAACGAGAAAGGGGTGTGTCATGTGACGTGGCAGCATAAGAATGGGTGATAGGATGTTTATGGAAGTAAAGCAAGGAGAGAGGTAGAGGTTAGCAGCCTGTAGGCTGTTACCTGTATGTATGTAAGATTAACATTTGGCCATCATGCGGTGAATCCTGTCCTACATTAAATTTAAAGCACTTGTGCCTTTGTTCCTTTAATAAAAATAAAAACAACTTGTTGGTTCTGCAATCTGTCTGCATTTTATTAAAAGGGGTTTATGGCAGCCTTTGAATTCCGGTCACCCTATTTACTCTCTGTAATTTTTCTCCTCCTCATCCTCCTCCTTCTGGTTCTTCTTCCATTCTCTCCCTTCAACCAAAACCATTTCAATCTTATAAGCCTTTCTTCTTCTTCTTCTTCTAGCCCTCGTCAAAGCAACCAAACAAGCCAATATCAATATGTCTCACCTGCACCCTCTCCTTCTACTTCCTTTGTTGCAGACCATGTCAAAGTAAGCAGCTTTACATGTTGTTTGTATGTTCTTCGCAATTATAACATTATTTGGCTTTTTGGGCGCTTGTTTTCTTTTATTGTCTTGATTTTTTTCCTTTCTTAGGTTGTACGTTTGTTTTTTGTGCCATAACGTTTTCAGAAAAAGAAGAGCAGTGGAATCACGATTGAAGAAGAGTTGGCGAGAGCGAGAGCAGCCATCCGCAAAGCCATTCGCACGAAGAAGTATACATCTGATAGACAAGAGATTTACATCCCCAGAGGAAGTGTGTACAGAAATCCCTATGCATTTCATCAGTTGAGTTTTCTTTTTTCTTCTCTTCTTTATTTGGTTTTTCTTTTTAAAACACATACATATATGGTAAAGTCTAGGGTTTTCATTTCTGGGTTGGAATGAATCATGAAGATTTTTTTACCTTCTTATTGCCTAAAAAGTTTGGTGGGGTTTTAATGTTTTTGGACTAATAATCATGCTCATTTTTTTAAGCAAATTGTTATGCCGATCCTTTTCTTACGAACAAAGCAATCCCTTTCAATTTCCAACTTGTGGCCCCTTCCAACTTTATTTTACTAGATTCCTCTTTATTTATTTTTTGTAATTATTGAGGACGGTCCAAATTATTGTCTTGTTTTTTGTTTTTTTTTCCTCCTGTTTATAATTATATATACTCAACGACTTGTATTATTGATTGTAATTAATAAATATTACAATAGCATTATTTTTCTCTCAAATCAAAACTCAAAAATAGTTTTTCTATCTATAAAAAAAACCTCGAAAGAGTTTAATCCCAAGGCAACTCCGATCCAGAGATGCACGATTGGTTTTGAAAATTGGGATTAATCGCAAGGCGTTGCGTTACACTCTCAAGTGTTGACTATATTGCTTGTTTGGCGTTGACTTTAAGAGATGATTTTGATGGTTGGTTTGGGTTTGGTTTGGGTTTGGGTTACGTGGGTGAGCAGGAGCCACATAGAGATGGTGAAAAGATTCAAGATATGGGCTTACAAGGAAGGAGAAATACCCATCTTCCATAACGGGCCCATGTCCTACATCTACTCCATTGAAGGTCATTTCATCGATGAGTTGGACACCAGTGGAAATTCCCCATTTTTGGCCCGCCATCATCACGAGGCACATTCCTTCTTTGTCCCTGTAAGCGTCAAAAGGGTTGCTGATTTCTTGTATGATCGCCCTAAACCGTACACATTTCACGGTCGACTGGTTCGTATTGTCACCGACTACATCAATGTTGTGGCCCACAAGTACCCCTACTGGAATAGGAGCAATGGAGCTGACCACTTTATGCTCTCTTGTCATGATTGGGTATCTATCAACTTCCACAACTCTCCTTGGAATTTCATTTCCGAACACCAATACTGCTTGGTTCCTTACAAGTAAAACGGCAATGTGTCGTTACGTTACGTTGGAGACAAGTATTTTCCTTTATTTCCCCAATATAATAAAACCTATGTTTCTTTAATTTTGGCAGGCACCAGAAATCATAGATGATGACCATGAGTTCTACAAGAACTTCATAAGAGTACTCTGCAATTCTAACACCTCAGAAGGATTCCAGCCCGGGAGAGACGTCTCACTACCAGAATATAACATACCGGCGAACACTCTTGGCCCATCGCTCCTCCACCAACAGCCCGATAACCGGCCTATCCTGGGCTTCTTCGCCGGTGGTGCTCATGGAGACATAAGGAAGTTTTTGTTTGAGCATTGGAAGGACAAAGATGATGAAATCCAAGTCCATGAGTATCTTCCAAAGGGGCAAAATTACCACCAAATAATGGGACAGACCAAGTTTTGCTTGTGCCCAAGTGGGTCTGAAGTTGCTAGTCCTAGGGTGGTTGAGGCCATGTATGCAGGGTGTGTCCCTGTGCTCATTTCTGACTATTACTCATTGCCCTTCGCTGATGTTCTCGACTGGAGCAAGTTTACAATAGAAATTCCACCAAAGAGAATACCCGAGATCAAGGCAATATTGAAAGCTGTTCCACACTCGGAATACTTGAAATTGCAAAAGAGGGTGATGCAGGTGAGAAGGCATTTCATGCTCAACCGACCAGCTAAGCCATTTGATGTATTTCATATGGTGCTTCACTCCATATGGCTAAGGAGGCTTAACATCAGGCTACCCAATTAATTTTATTCAACAACCATAAGCATTCTTTTAATATTTTACTCTTGGAATTTTACACCATTTGTATAATCTTCTATAATTTTGATCCCTCCTTCCTACATCATCATCTATAAATGAGTAAAACAAGGGACGGATTATTATCACTAAATCTGTTCGCTTCAGAACTTAACAAGAAGCTGAAAGAAATACAGGGTACTCTGCTCTAACAACGATACGTGAGATTGTAAAACAACAACGTGTTTAACGGTGTTTAGTAAATTAGCAAAATTGAACACAAGTGGAATGTTTCACTTGACACATTATTCATTATTGCAACAAAGTTCTACACAAGGTCAAAACGTTACAAACCCACAAGTCTCAAACCCCGCTTTTACATCCTAGCCAGCACAAGTTGCATAGGAAACATAAATTGCTGAACAATACAATGCAAGAAGTACTTCAGAGAAAGTACAGAAATATGAAATAATTCAATTGTGAATCTCATTACCCTCAGTCGACCGCCCTGGTGCAGGGGTAATTGGGGCTGGTTGTTTGGTCACAGCAGCCATAATATCCGCATAACCCACCACTCCAACTAAGATATCATCACTTTCATCCTCAGTCACCCACACATGGGTTGCCCTGTGAGACAACATCTGAGCCATGACTGCTGCCAATGAACTTGTAACCTTACAGGTCAATGGTGCGCTTCTGCCTCTATACATGCTTCTACTCACTCCCAAGCTTGCGCTCGCAGGACTGAACCCTATACTCCTGCTACTGAACCTTTTCAGCTTTGTTGACCCACCACCATTAGCCACATTATTATTTCCAGCAGTTTGATTTATAGAGATATCTGGCAGTGATCTTGAGGACGCATTATCCTCAACTCCCATGACAAACTGTCCAGCTGAGAGATTAGCTAAAGCCCATGCTGCAGCTAAGTAATCACATTTCCATAGTTTGGAGGCAGATATCTCTCCAATAATCTTGTACTGATCTTCCAGTGTGTGTTCGACAACAGCAACTGCACTAGGGTCTTCAGGAAGCTTATGAGTGGCTTCAATGGCTGCAGACGAGGCTTCAACAAACTGGTAGTTTGTGTTAATGGCCCCAAGAGAGGAGATAGAGGAGAGAGGAATAGGAGCTAGGGCACCTAGGCAGCCAATCAGGAAACGAATAACATCTTCTCTTGAGAGACAGCAAAACTTGTCACGGGTACTGGTAGCGGAAGATGAGGAAGGCCGATTGGCAGCAAGGCTATTGCTGCTGCCACTAGTATCCATGTTCTTGAGCCACTTACCACTATAGATAACCGAGAAACGTTTGCTCATGCCTTTCCATACAACACTCTTTCGAACAAGAAGACGCTTTACACCATGCTTCATCATCTCCAGTGCATCTATCAACCTTGCAGAAAGAGAAATTTGAAAGAAAGAAAAAACACATTACTTTTAAGAAATCAATGTGTATCCGAAACGTAAAGCAATTCTATAGAACTTCACAACTAGTAACTCATGTACTGGGGATAATTTTTCTTCATAAAGGAAACGCCATCTTGGTTAAAGACATCTAAGAAATGGATGCACACAAAACTGATTTCTTTAAACTTCATATTTCCAATTTCCTTGTTTGATTGATACCAGAATTTGAATCTTAATTAGTCATCAGGCTAGATAAAAATAACGGTTTCAAGCCAATTCCAAACAAAATAAAAAACTATTTCAAGAATGGAATGGTTGCAGCAGTTGTATGAATGTACGAATGGAAGGGGTAAAAAAGACAGTTTAAAGTGAAAGCTAATCAGAATCTAATCACAAAACACCATGATCAATAATCGTAGAAACAACATTACTAAAAAGTAGGGTACCAAACTTGATCTAAGATCAATGGAAATTCATAGCATGACCATATAGAGTAATAAGATTGAAAAGCAGCAAACCTTGTCGCAGGATCAACCTGCCTCAGCAAAGAATTATTAGGAACAACAACATCAGACACCAGAGTCTTCAAAGCCTTATCATGATCCTCTAGACACTCACTTTTAGCAAAGAAAGCAACAATGTCGAGGGAATTGAGGATGCCCACAAACCTCTGCTGCCTCATTTCATCGTTTTCAACCATACCCACATGTGATTTCTTCTTCCATACCGGTATACCACATTCCATCGACTCTCCGATCGCTTTTATCGCAGCCTCCATCGTCTCCGTCTCACACAGTTCCACCATCTCTGGCTTCCCCACTGTTAGATCACCCACAACATGGAAAAGAAACACCGATGCCATTCCCAATTTTCTGTTCAGAATCAGATGACGATAAAGTTAAGCATAACCAAGGAAAATCATAGTGATTTCTCCATTTTTTTCATTCCCTGCTGTTTAATTAGTATGAGATTTTGATTAAAAATGAATATTTTCTTTTCTTTTATGAAATTTGAAAAACAAAAAATGAAAACTTTACCTCAAGAGACAAACTCAAAAATTGAGTTCTCTCGTTTTCCCGGGAATTCAAGCTTCCTTAAATGGAGTTCAATTTTCTGTTACTCTGCCCACCTTTTCGCCCCAACAAGCCAACAAATGATACACAAAAACGGCACCTTTTTTTTTGGGTTGTTTTTATTTTTTAATTTTAAAGAAAAAATGAATAAATCGAAGTAAACCCAGATCAAATATAAAATAGAGAGGCTCAAAAGATTCTTGAGAAAGCCCCAGACAGGAAATTTCTTGGGAAATAACCAGGAGAATAAGAGGGCGAGGAGGTACCGGGAAAACCGGCGAAGGGGTGAGAGTTATAAGAGAGAGTGGAGGAAGATTAGGAGGAGGTGAAAACCAGTAATGGGTAATCTGTGAAGGGTCAAGAAAGTGAAGGAAGGGAGAGGTTTGGCCATTGATGACGAAGCACAAGAGCAAGGTAAAGGCCCATCAAATGTGTCTCAGCCTCGGTCTCTCTTCTGACTCTCTGAGCTGTGTGATTGCGTGTGTGTCTCCAAGTGCTTGAATTTTGCTAATTATTGAAGAGATGCGGATGGGAATGACTAAATCAGAGCGAAAATCTGAAATTCGGTGAATGAATAATCTATATTTAAAGGCAAATGAGTTTATTTTCTTAGCTAAAAACTTCTCATTTAGCCAAAAGATTTGATCTTCTTATTCTTCTTATAAATCATTACACACCAACCATGGTGCTCGGGGCTGTTCGACCATGGTCAAACCGACGTCATATTTTTTGTTTCTTCCCTCTTATTGCTCCCAGTGAATTTGGTAGCCCAGCCCAATGTCCTTTCTAATGGATCCATCCAACTTTACGGGTCGGTCAGTCGGTCGGTCATTCATTCCAATACCAGCCCACGCGTCTGAGCTTACTCACATACACTCATCATCACACTTCAAAAGAAAATGGAATAAATATAAGGCCAAGGGAAAAAGAAGCTTTAATGGCTTTTCCAAATTCCATATTCTTTTGCTTCTTCTACTACAGTACAGTGTGCATCATTTTCATCTGTAAGTCCCATTCTCTCTAACTCTGTCTCTGCACCTTTCAGCTATCACTTACTTCAACGCAATATCACATCACGTTCTTGTTTTTCTAAGTGTGACTAGCAGATTTTGTTTCTTATCCATCTTCTTCAAGATGGTTTTCGGATTTTACCCCTGTGATAGGTCTAATTTATAGCTTCTGCCACTGAGCTTTCTCTTCAGCTTGTTCAATATTTAGCTTCTAACCCATCTTGGTAAAGATGGGCTTTAGCTTTTCATCGCTGTGATTGCCTTAATTTTTCAGCTACTGCCGCCAAGCTTAGCTGTTGTTGTTCTTCAACCTTCTTTCACTTGTCTAAACCCTCTATTTGTTAGTCATGGAACACAAATGGGTTTCAGTGTTTTGCCACTCTAATCCTCTCAACTTACGTGCACTGCTACTGATATTCTTTGTGCTTCTATGTTCAAACCTTTCTCAAAGTGTCGACCTTTACCCAGATGACAAAGCCTCAGTTTTGCTATTTAGGTCATGCCTCCAAGACCCTAGCCAGAGCTTGTCCAGCTGGGTTGGGTCTGACTGTACCAACTGGACTGGAATCACCTGCGAAAACCAGACTGGCAGAGTGGTTTCAGTTAATTTGACCAACATGAACTTGTCTGGCCAAATTCACCCCAACTTGTGCAAACTTCCATTTCTTGAACATTTGGTTTTGTCCGGAAACAACTTTACTTGCACAATTCCGTTATGTTTTGGCACTCTACGCAGTCTCAAAACTCTACATCTTGGTTACAATGGATTTTATGGTACTGTGCCTGATACACTTATGCGGCTTTGGCAGTTGAAAGAACTTGTTTTGAATGATAACAAGGATTTGGGAGGTCTTATTCCTTGGTGGGTAGGTAATTTCTCAGCACAGTTGGAAAAACTAGATATGGGTTTCAATTCATTTCATGGGGAAATTCCTGAAAGCTTGTTGTACTTGAAATCTTTGAAATATTTAGATCTCGGGAACAATAATTTATCTGGTACTCTAAGTGATTTTCACCAATCCTTGGTGTTTCTCAATCTTGGGTCGAATCAGTTTTCCGGTACTTTGCCTTGTTTCTCTGCTTGTGTTCAGTCTCTTAGAGTTTTGAATCTGGCTAACAATTCTGTTATGGGAGGAATGCCTACATGTATGGCTTCACTTCAAGCTTTGAAGCATCTAAACCTTTCATTCAATCACTTGTCTTATGAATTATCTCCAAGGCTTGTGTTTTCAGAGAAGCTTCTTGTGTTGGACTTGAGTAACAATGATCTGTCTGGTCGCCTTCCGAGCAAGATTGCAGAGACAACTGAGAAGTCTGGGCTTGTTCTTCTTGATTTATCTCACAATCGTTTCTCCAGTGAAATCCCATTGAAGATTACAGAACTGAAAAGCTTGCAGGCCTTGTTTCTATCCAACAATCTTCTTGTTGGGGAAATTCCAGCGAGGATTGGAAATTTGACGTATCTCCAAGTGATTGATCTCTCACACAACTTGTTATCAGGTTCAATTCCATTGAACATCGTTGGTTGTTTTCAGCTGCTTGCATTGATACTCAATAACAACAATCTTTCTGGTGAAATTCAACCGGAACTTGATGCATTGGATAGCTTGAAGATACTGGACATTAGCAACAACAAGATATCTGGTGAGATCCCACTTACTTTAGCAGGCTGTAAATCTCTGGAGATTGTAGATTTCAGCTCCAACAATCTCTCTGGAACTTTGAGTGATGCAATCACCAAATGGTCGAACCTCAGGTATCTGTCCCTAGCTCAAAATGAATTTAGTGGAAATCTGCCCAGTTGGCTCTTTACTTTTCAAGTGATCAGAATGATGGATTTCTCAGGAAACAAATTTTCTGGCTTCATACCAGATGGTAACTTTAACATGAGCATAAATTTTAAGAATGGAGAGCTTGAAAAAATGCAGAGAGAGCCGTTTGGTACAATGCACAATGCGGATACAAAAGTTTTTATTATTGTCACTGGTAGCACTGAATTAAGCTTCAGTTATGTACTATCTTCGGTGGTTGGAATTGATTTCTCTAACAATGTGCTAGATGGGGAGATTCCAGGGGGACTGTTTGGATTACGTGGTTTGCAATACCTGAATTTGTCACACAATTTTCTTCAGGGTCGTGTTCCAGATTTAGAGAAGATGCGGAATTTAAGGGCCTTGGATATATCACACAATTCTTTGTCAGGTCATATTCCTGGAAACATTTCCAGCCTTCAAGACCTGACTCTTTTGGATTTGTCATATAACTGTTTCTCTGGATTTGTTACAAAGAAACAAGGATATTGGAGGTTTCCAGGAGCATTTGCTGGAAATCCAGATTTGTGTTTGGAGTCCTCTGATGGAGTGTGTGACCCAGCAAGCCTCCCCGTGGTGCCGGGTAATGCACTTGAAGGGGAAGAGGACGAGGGGTGGATTTCTGTTTGGGTTTTTTGTCTAAGCGCTTTCCTCAGTTTCTACTTTGGGGGTTTGGCCCTCTTTTGCTCACCTCGAGCACGAAATTACATTCTCCAGACAAAAGCTTAGTGTAATGTACATGTTGATGCGGAGGAAAACGATAAGATGTACATTTTAATTACTCTTTTTCTAGATTGCTTTTTGTTGACCCCTACTAATGGATGAGTTTGTTCTTCCACGCTTTGCTAACATAGAACCTAGCTGTTCGGAACGTGGTACTGAGAGTGCAACAATAACATGCCGTAAGCTTTCATGACCTTGTTTTCAATGATATTGACAACAATAATCAGGCAATGGCATGCCGTTGGTTGGCCCTTGCCTGAGTCTTATTTCATGTACCAGCTTTTGGGCAATGCTATAGTCTTCTTTCATTATAAATAAGATCAATTATATGTTATTAAGTTTTGAATGCACTCTCCTTGACAAATGGGGATGAAAGCAGGTCCCCGATCTCATAAATTTGACACTAACCTAGAGAAAGGTAACAGTAATTTATAATTAAGAAAAAATAGCAAATTATCCTGCCAATCGCCATATGCCTAATTTAGATGCTGGCTCTCTTGAATCAGATGCACGGCCATGGTTTCTGTTAGCGACTGAGAAATTTGTTTTATTTGAGCTCCAATCCCCTGCAATGAAATCTAATTATATAAGAAAGGAGGCAGAGCCTGAATGTGCAGGCACCATCTGACCCATTTTCCCAGCATTCTCCACTGGTATGCAGCAGTCCTCAGGGACCGTGTGTTGTCTAGTATGCACACCAAGCACAACCTCTAGTATCTAATTGGGCCGTCCAAGTTCCCAGAAGCAAACTGAAAGCAACACTCACAAAAAAGAAGAAGTAAGTACTGGGACTCCGGATCATCATAAAGCTTAAAACATATCCCAACTATCTGATTCTGACAGAAGAAACAAATTATGAACACCAATGCCTAAACTATCTAATTGCACATGTCGTCAAACTAATTCATTGCAAAACCAAATCTGTCATTACCTGTTGAACGATTGGATTTGTGGAGGTTGTGAATTCATGAGTCATTCCTTGCCACACTATCTTGCCCTCGTAGAGAAACAATAACCTATACACATTGAATATATGCTTTGCTTAAAACACATATGAAACAATCAACGCAAGTGTTCAATAATCACATGACAATTTTTATGAAGCCCAACCTGTCAACAGCCCGTCTAATGGTACTATGTTGGTGAGTAACAACAACATAAGATGCAATCTGCCCAGGCTTCTCAATCACTGCCTGATCTTTTGTATGGACAGAGCGGATGAGGTCTTCTACCACAGTAGATGCAATAGGATCAAGTCCAGCGGTTGGCTCATCATATAAGAGCACCTGTGGAAGGGTGTAGAATACTGTCAGGAATCAGGAGACAGGCCCTACCAACTGCCTCTGTCGGAGTCAGACCATGAGAACACAGTACACAACTACATCCTAAACTCGGAGGGATGATACTAATGACTATGAAGTAATGCAATGGGAACCACTAAAAGGCCATAGTTTCAATTGAGTACTAAAACATTTACGCAAACATTATCCAAGGAAACGAAAGTAGATAGAGAACAAAATAAATCTATCAGCTGCTCAATATACCTCTGGCTCTATGGCTTCCTTTGTAGTATCACAAATTATAGACCGAGCCAGAGCAACTCGTTTCTTCATTCCACCAGACAGCTCCGAAGGTAATCGATCCTCAACACCCTAAACAAATGACCAAGTACAATATAAATAAATTGGATAGTAAGTTGGAGAAGGTAGCATCGTTGCAGACTGATAAATTGATATTTTATACATACCTTTAACCCTACAGCAGCCAAGCTATCAGTCACAAGCTTTGAAATTTGATCATCAGGCATGCTTGAATTTTCATACCTAATCAATTAATGAATGAATTATATTTTGGCATATTCTATTAAAACGTAAACTATCAGCCCTATGCAATTAAGTGGAAATCAATGCAAAAAAATAAAAAAATAAAATAAAATATCCAAAATTCAAAAGAATCTAAAGCTGTCTTACAGAAGGAAACCAACATTTTCACGAACATTCAAAGAATCAAAAAGTGCAGCACTCTGGAACACCTGTTAGATAGTAGATAAATGCATTAAAAGACCTTTTGGATATAAGTGAATCAGAAAGAATAGATAACTCCTAGCAGACCAGTTAATAATAAAGTTTACCAATCCTATCCGAAGACCAGATATCTCCTCATCGCTTATCAAACCATCTCTCTTTCGACCTCGAATGTATACCTCTCCCTGATGTGTTACACAATGGACAGAGTCTATGTAAGAGAACCAATAATAAGCTCATTAAAGTGTAAACACAAGTTAATTAAACAAAGGTGAGCACAACATGAGAACCAGATTAACTATTAACCTTGTCAGGAGCAAGAAGCCCAGCAATAATCTTTAGAACTGTAGATTTCCCCGTGCCAGAAGGCCCAATTATTCCAACAGCTTCGCCATGTCTAATCTATAAATGAATCCACCATTGACCAATAACTTTTTTTGAGAAACAAAATTATAATATAAGAAAGCACAAACTAATGAAAGGAAGACCAGCAGTGCATCCCATGGTAAACAGCAATATTAAAGTAAACAACAACACAGATTGTTGCCCATCGCTAAGAAAGAGAAGTAATGAAAATCCTTAAAAAAAAACATACCAAATCCCATAATGATGCAAACCTCCAAAACTATGCTAATTGGGGCCAAACCTGAAACCTTCAATAAGCATAACAATCTACTACCTAACCCATAAGCCAAATGCCATTCAATCCAAACAGTGCATTGACTCCTTACAAACACGTACTGATGAGGAAGGGAACTAAGCATTGATTTCCTGTTCTGAAGCAAATAATTAGTTTTCAAATTTTTTATGAGCCAAAATTCCAAGCTAAAGAATTAACTTTTGGCACGCTTAACTAGGAAACTATATCCTAGTCAGAAGATAATGGCAACGTTAAGACCTATGCTACATCCTCACAAAAGAAATGCATATAAATTCTTGAAACAACTAAAAAGACATAATCAAAAGAACTTAATATGTGTTGAAATCAGATTCACCTTGAAGCTCACACCTCTCAATATATGCTTCTCGCCAAATGATTTGTAGACATCTCTACACTCGATTAGAACATCAGAATCATCCTCAGGCTCCCGAACTGTGCTTAAATTCTCTGATTTAAATGAATCCTGGTGAGACACAAAATGTTAACTTGTATTTTTCAAACTTATAACAAAATAAAACACTGAACCATAGTCAAATGAAAACTGCACACTTTGCCCCCATACATATGGGCGAAAACAAATAAACAAAACGATACCTATAAGTATATCAAACAAAAACAAGTGATTCAAATCAATCAAAGACAAGTTTTTTCCTCCAATTGCAGCTTATCGAAGAAAATAAAAAGGAGCTGACAAATACCGATGAAATGTAGATGTCAATAGATGCCAAATAAGCATAGAAGATGGTTGCTTGAATAAAAGAATTAAGGAAAAAAAACAAAAGACTAGTTCTTCAAAGACAATAACTTGAGGGAAAAGGTTGTTAAGGACTTACCTCAAATTTTGCTGCAAAAGATTCATCGCTCCTCAAGTTCGGGGGAGGCGCCATACAAGCACATAAAACGTTTCTGGGCTCTCCCTTTTGTTTGTCACTAATACTACACCAATTGGTTGTCCTTGCAAATCTAACCGACCGAGAAAAGCCACTGGATGTAGTCAGAGGAAACAGCAATGAATTGGACAGAGAAACCATGCTTAATATCAGAGCAATTGGACCTCTAGGCGTAAAATTTTTGAATCAGACCCAGATCAAATTATCGACTAAAAACCACTTCTGGAAGCAATTCAGGTCGTTGGTATTTGGAAATTTGCGATTTTGAAGAAGACCCAGATCAGATTATGCGCGTAAGACCAGTTTTGGAAGCAGTTTCGGGTTCCAGGTGGTGGACATTTGTGAAGGCGAGGGAGTCTCAGACCAGTTCGTGGGCCAAAAAGCCCAGAAGAGGAGAAACCAATCAAGTCGAATGCAATTATGGCATTTTACTAATTAGATTATGTGTAATTGAATTGAGGATGAGTTGGATTGAAAAGAATTAGATTTCGTATTTATATTGAAGTTATTTACTAAATCATATAAATTGAAGAGAGTTAGATTTTATATTCCTATTAAAGTTGTTTACTAAATTATATGGAATTGTTAATTACTAAAATGTCATCGTTATTTGGTTAAAATAAATGACTAATTTTAAAATTTTAAAATTATGTGAGGATATAATTGGTATAAAAAAAAAATTCCTAATGAGTTTTTTTTATTTTATTTTATTGGTCGTAATCAATTATGTTCATTTAAAACCCATAAATGAGGAGGAAACAAATAAAAAATACAAAAGCTAAAAAAGGCTAACTAAATGAACAAATTACCACAAAATTGAGAAGATTAAACTAAACCCAGTATAGTCTAGTATAATAGTCTTTCCCGTCACAAAATCAAATCAAATTACAATACAAAGCCATCGTCACCCTCAAAAGGGACGGAGACCGCACCATAATTGCCACAAAGGAGGTACACCACCACCACACATGTCAGCATTGCTGCATATAGAGACCCACCGATCTTCCACCAAAAATCGGAAATAGATCAGCCCTCGAACGTTCCTCCAAAAGTCACATTCTCCAAAGCACCTAAATCTGCCAATGCACTTAAGAGAAAATAATAACCAATCATAACACCAAGGTATATATCAAAAGACCGACACCAAGAGAATGGAGAGTATTGGGGCAAGCACTAGAGCAAGAACTGTAGCAAAAGCTCTAAATACAATCCAATAAATGAGCGAAAATGTGAAACCCTGTATTTTTAATATATAATTATTTTAGTTAAATATATATTAGTATGTGTAATTGTCTTGGTACGTATATGTAAATATTCTTGTTGTAATTTTATATTAATTATTATATTATTATAATAATACTTATATATTTATATCTTATTACATATATTATTCTATTTTATTTATTTATATATATATCATCTTATTATATATATAAATATGTGCATTACATATATACTTATCCTATTATATATATGTATGTGTTTTAAAATAGTTATTGTTAATACGTGTCAAAGTACAAAACCTGTTAAGTATCAAGGCTATCAACTCACCAAGAAGATAAGAATAGGATTAGAGGGATTGGAAGAGTCACAAAAACATTATTCCTTATCTTTAACTACATTAATAACTATTACTTGGACAGTAAGTTCGTATCAACCGCCAATAAACCATCCAATAGGAAATCACTTCCTGCCGACTTGTTCCTTGTATATATATAGGACATTAAGTTGCACAACAAGTGCAAACAAAGGAAACAAGAAAGAAATAGTGGTAGAGATAAGTAAGAAAAATAGTAGGAGACTGAGTTTGTGAATGCGGTGGAAAATTGGAAAATACTTTACAATTCTAGCAAAATTTTTGGTATCAAGGTAGGGGTTTCTTAGGGGCCTGTATGAGGATTTATCTAATTAAATTTTGTGAGCTCTATATTATGTGTGATATTGTATAATGTTCTTGATATAAGATATTTACGTATTTGTGAATTATTTGAATAATGTTGACATAATTATATTATGTCATGGTAATTGGTTGGAGTTGTTGGGTTAAGAAAATAATGATGGAAAAAAGGGTAATGGAAATAGTCTTTTGTGTAGTTGAGTTTAACTCTTGGCATGTACCAGGTCTCACGGATCCCACAGTGCACATGGTTTTTATTGGGTGATTCAGGACTGGCGAAAGGGAGTTAGACAAGATGACTAACAAAAGGGGAATTATGGGATAATTGAAATGGATGTTAGTTCATATAAATGGGCATTCAGGACCAAGTAGTATAAGCATGGTATGGGATGTGCAAGTTTGCTTGTCTAGTTATATGAATTAATAGGAATAGATGAAGAGCATTCATTCATGCATTATTGTTAATAACGTGATATTTTGGCTGTATGATTGCGTATCATTTAATTTAGTTATATCAATATACTGTGGTAAGGTCTCATGTCCCTACTGAGCTGTGGTTGCTCACCCCTCACCCTGTTTAATTTTTCAGATGAATTAGTGGGCAAGACAAAGACTAAACCAATTGAGGCTGAATTAGATGAGAGTAATAGAGCTTTATTTATTAATTGTAAAATTGTAAGATTTTGGAGTTATTTTTATAAGAGAAGTTTATTCAAACCCAATGTTTTCGTTTCGTTTTATTTTATTTTACTTTTTATTTTTCTCACTCGCCAGGCGTGGGGTTTCCACTGACTCCCGGGTCCGGGGCTTGACAGACAAAGCGCTTATAGATATGGTTGTTGTATCCCAAAGGAGAATCCAGATCTTGAAAATGGATAAGGCAAAAAGAGGATGAGAAGTTGAGGAAGAAATAAATCTGGTTGAAGGGGTTGTTTGGTGGAGAACGAAGGACACAAAATTGGCATGCGACATTTACTCTCAACACAAAGCATAAGGCTCAAGCAGACACCACAGAGGGGAGAGGCACCCAACTCTTAAAGAGAGCCACATACACAGCCAAACAGGCTCAAATCGAAAAGACCAGCCCCATCAAAAAGCCCAAGGCAGGGGAGAATGAGAGGTAGCAGAACAAGAGAAATAGCAAACAAGATAAGGGAAAAACAAAAACTAATAAAAAGGAAAAAAGAAGACCCAAAAAAACACCAAAAAAACTGAAAATTGCTATGCAAAAACAGAGCAGCTCCCTAAGAGGTGGAAGAGGAATGAAAAGGCAAGAGAAAGGGGGCGAAGGAGCAACCCAGAAAAGAAAGAGAGAGGAAGAGGAGGAAATAAAAGAAAAAAAAACCAAAAAATGGTGGAGGGAAAGAACAGAAAAAAATAAACTGACGGAATTGAAGTATTAAATATTATATTTAAGTTAATTGTTTTTTAAAATATCAAATATTTTTAATTAAATAAACTGACGGAATTGAAGTACTGAAATCAAGATGACCAAATTTAATTTCAAGCCAAACTTCAGTGACCAAAAATGTAATTAACTCTTTAAGTTTAGGGAGTTTCACTAAAACACCCAAAATGGAGGTTGAAATTATAAAAAAACCCAACACCCAAAACACTTTATAAACACACCCAAAACCCATCATTACACACACTCAAAACCCATTTATAAACACACCCAAAAAGTTGACTTTGGGGTTGATTTTGGGTGTGTTTCTATGTTTAAATAGTGCTTGGGTTTTTTTATAAATACATGTGTAGGATTGGGTTTATTTATAAATTTGTATTAAGTTTATGCGCACATTTTTTTTAATCAAATAACAAATAAAAGAAAGAAAACACTTCACACATGGACGCGTCTTCATTTTAGTCACCGTTTTTTTTTGGTCGCTAGTCTTCTTTTCAGTCTAGAACATCAAGGATAAGGTCTTTTTACCTCGGTAAAAGGGCTCGTACTCCGTGGCCTCATTCTACTATATATTGTTGTGGTTTTCCCATCAAGGCCGAGGAGCTAGGGTTTCTTTCAGACAATCAAAGGCCCAAGGTACAGATGTCTCTAGAAAATGAAGGCCCAGGGCTAGGGTTTCGATAGAAAACCAAGGCCCGAGTTTATAATTTGCTAGAGAAAATTTTGCTTGTTCTTTTTGTAGGAATTCATTTCTACATTCGCGCGAAAAGATCTTCTAGAGAAAGACAGATCGATGATTAGTATTTCTCAGAAATACAGCAACTATGTCGACGATGCTAGCTTCCTGAGAATTACTAGCATCGTTTGGGTTTAGGGCTTTTCGATGGCAAAGGAGAACAAAGCGGCTTCGCAGGCCACCGTCAATGGCGACAATACACTCACGAGCTCTCTACGATGTCGTCCATAAGGGTGAGCGCCGTTACCCTATCTTTTTGTTTGCACATTTTTCCTGTATTAATTCTAGGGTTTTGTATTTAGATCGCAAGAGGATGTGTTTTTTCTTAGGGAAGCGACGGTAATGGCGAGAATGTACGAGATCTCGATGGTGCCGTCCACGGGTTACTCATTCTCAGCGTGATAATAGACTTGTGTTAACAAGGGTGAGCATCTTTGCCCTATTCTTCTGTTCACACGTTTTTCTTGTATTAATTCTAGGATTCCTTTGCGTGATAGAAGAACGCTTAGGGTTTCACTACATGCGGTGATAGTTGTAGAAATAATAGCATTCAAACAATATATGAAGTTTATGGAGTGGAGTCGAATTAGGGTTCTTCAATGTAGGTATTCACCAAATGCAATTTTTTAAAGATTTGGGATCTTAGAGAGCAGAGAGCGTTCTTCTGATAACCAACTTCATATCCTCCCTTATTTTGAGGACAAGAAATTTCCTTTTCTATTTTTTTGTTTATGCTTTATCTCGATCCAGAGTGAAAAAAAAGGGGGGGAAATAGAAAAACCATTTTTACATTATCTACATCTCAAGTATAGTTAAATTTCTGCTGAGTCCAAATTTAAGTTTCTTTGAGCTCATTGTACAAACTGTGTATTTTTTAAAGAGGTTTTGATTTTGCATTTTCTTTTGTAGCTTGTGTTTGAAAAAACGTATGGATCTGGACTTTGGTTTCAAAGAAAGTCACTTTCTAAATCCCTTTCCGCAAAGGATGCTCCAAAAAGATTCTCATACAGGCATGTTTATTTTATACTAGCACCATTTGTTCCTGTTACTTTACAATGTGTAGAATGATCCTATGTCTGCTCTTTAAGTGAGCTTCCCTTTAA